ACTTTTTACACATCCCCCAACCTGCGTACATACACTTGACGCACCCCCCCCCGAATCCTATAGAACGGCTGATATTTAATCCACGCAGAAACGATCCAGGATTAATAACGTGTTTAAGCAAACAGATAGTTCACCACCTGACTAACTAATTTGAAGGCCAATATAGACATTATCGAGGCTTCACCCCACCCCCCGTTTCCGATGCGTACATTGTCAGTACACACCCGATATGCAAGCGTACGCATTTGGGTTAACCCCCCTCCATGTGTACGTACTAAATGGATGGCTTCCTACAATACATTATAATTGTATTGGTGTAGGTTCAGGCTTGTGTGTTTAAGTGTATAATTATAGTAATAATTACGAACATCCCTTTCGCAGTCCATTGCTGAATAAGTGCCCCCTCATTCTGTCAGTCCTGGGGGTTGTTTGACCATACTTTAAATCACTCACTTTTGATATTCGTTGTTGGAATTAAACTCCAATTGCTTGGTTCATTGTGAAGTAAGAACACCACTGCACCATTGCCCTCTCCCCACCTACGAGTGTGTGTATAGAAGCAAGAATGAGCTGCTTCCGACAAGCTTTTCATTGAATTTTTGCTTCAATTATAATGATGGTACAATTGTATTGTATCTTATTACAGAAGGAGCATCATTAGGACTATTAGTTTTGTACTTTTGTGACGTAATGATTAAGCTCTGATACTATTAGCTATTATTTATCTGTACTCGGAGTGAATTTTTTGGAATTTACAAACTGGAAACTAGGATAAATATGCATACCATGTTGTGAAAGCATGCAATGGGATTTCTCAGGCTTGTCACTGGTATTTTTTTCCAAAATAGAGCTTCATATACGAGAACTGTTGTGCACTTTTCATCGTTTCTGTTAATTATGTTGTCGTATGGAATTTAATTTGGAACATTCATACAATTTAATATATACAATATATAGGAACACAACAACATGCTGTATGAATTGTCTGTCAAATCCTATATTTCACAAGTTTATGGATCTTGATTTAGTATTGCATGAACACATTTCACATTACATTTCGACCAAATCTGTATTGCATTTCCCAAAACCTGTTTGATCATTCTGAATACCAATGACGAATGTGGTACATCGTAGTCTGTATAGTGAGGACTCATTTAAATACTTACGCAATCACACATCATACAGCAAGTCACTGGTCTTCAATAAACCACGTATGAGTCCATTTAGAAGGAATCTGTACTTGGATAGGTACAATTAAATGTGTTTTTGTACGCAGTATATCCTTCTCATAAAAAGTATCTTGCAGGCTAACTTTGCAGTTCAAATCCAAATGCATGGCCAAATTAATATTCATATCGTTTGAGCCAATGCATCATGCAGTGTCTGTGCATGTGTAATTAGTGGTGAGATACTGCTATTTTGATCATTTGCTAGAATTGTTCTTTGCATTATTAACAAAATAAGCGTTGTGTAGCATAGATATATGCAGAAAATACTTCTCCTTATGCAATACTGTATGTCTCTAAAAAAAAGAGGGCTTCTTACGCAACCCGTTGGTCAAACTGCCTTCTTGGAGTGTATAATAAATGTAACTTTCATCCATTTCGTTATTTAAGAGGCTGCCACCTCCTTTGCAATGTGAAACTATTCAATTGAGATTGCGTTGCAAAGAAGATAGTGGCATGTTTGTAAAGCCTAGTGCTTTGAACATTATAAATAGTACAAGACATTTCATTAGAGTAATTTGTCGATGCAGATGCCGCTGCAGTAATACTGCACAATGAGAGGAATTTGCCATTGCAGAAAGCAATCCTGAAATCCGTTTTTTTTGCGCATTTCAGGATCAAACCTGTGGATTATGGTAGAAGTTGGAATGCACGGGTAATCTGTAATTTACAGGCGTTCGCGGATTATTGGTGCGTGGATTTTTGGAGTTATTCTCCATTGTTAAATTGTGAAAATTTCCATTTCACAAAATATGATGTCATAAGGACATAAGTGCTAAATTGTTACATGTCATGTTATTGCACTCCTGTCTACTTATTAAAACCTTTTCCACATGTATTTCAGTAATTCAAATTATAAAGCAGAAATGTAACTAGAATGTGCCTTTAGTTGGGGTTATTACCTTCCTGTACTGCTGCAACATGGTTAAGTATCGTCACTGGGGTGGTGACATGGCCGAGCAGTAATGCGTATGCTGCGTAATGCAGAGGTTCACTGTTTGAATTCAGACATGTATTTAAGTGTAAAAAGCTCCTTGGAGACATACCCGATCACGGGCCTCGTTCCCCCTTATAAACTCGCTCGGCCCCACACCAATCGGACAGTAGGCCCCCCCCACCCTACTACAACATGTGTGTTCTTTATTGAATAATTATTCCAGTGCCTTCTGGCCACACGTTTCCAATTATCTAAATTTGTGCCTTCTAGCACTTTCTGTGTAGTCCCCAAACACCCCCCTCCCTCGCCCGTGTGATTGACTCGTTCATTCCAGCGACGCTCCTTTCCGGCGCTCTCTTGGAGGACTCTGTTAGCCTGCCCCATCCTGCTGATCTTTATTGTGGTCGTTCCTGATTCTTTCTTGGGAAGTCCCGCAATGTTGCCCGCAGCTGGTTTGGTTGTCTCGGGTCGACTTCACCCCGGCATCCTCTTGCGATGTGGTCCGGCCTCCCGGAGCGGTAGCAGTGAATCTCCGCACAATCCCAGGTCCCTCCGAAGGTCTGCCACAGTCGCTGCTGTTGTCGATCATGCCTTGGGCTGTTGATTTCCTGCATGGCCGCTACCATCTCCAAGTTCGCCTGAAGATCATTACCCATGCTGGGCCCGGTGGTGGCCGCCGTTGTTGCTGCTCCTGTCGGCTCAGCTGGTCCTCTGGCTCTTAAGCTCTCCGTCATTTGACACCTGTGCCGCCATCCGAAATGAATCACATGGAAGTTTGGTCGCTCTTCAGCACAATTGGTAATAGAAGGCGGCTCCCTTGGACGAGGCCTCGTATCTGCTCCACCACCAGCGGATCCTAGGCTGCCTCGTCAATCCGTGGGAACACCACAATTGCGAGCACCAACAAGGCGTTAAACTGTATTCCATCAGCGGCTTATCTTCTCTTCGCCAGGATGAAAAAAAAAATCGCTGCCTTGCGCTAGATCGAGGGCATAAAATCTCTGCCATCCCTTTATAGGCCTGTCAGTAGCGTGGCACGTTAATTCTTTGGAATTGTGAAAAAGCCGTCAGCGCTCCGTCGTTGAGCACCGTGGGCAGCGCTCAAAGAACCTTGCTCCATCTGCAGACTTTAACGGTGGCTTCGAATCTCCGCCAGACCTTGGGTTGGTTCAATGAAGGTCTGTGGTGGTATCTCGTGCAACACATCTTTATCTCGAGATCCCCGCTGGGCGTAGCTCCATCTCTGAGATCCCCGGAGCTCGCCGCGTGGAAAGGGGAATCGATGGCTCCGTCTCCAGGCCAACACTGTTGACTCGGCGCTCTGCTGGAATTTGCTGTTATTCCGGCTCATCAATCTCGTCTTCTAGGACTGTGGGGATTGGCAGCTGCTCAGGTCGCACAGGCATCGGCTCTCTCCCTCTCCTCTACGATCGCCGTGAGCAAACGATCAATGGCGGAGGACAAGGCGGTCCAGTCTCTTAGCTATCTGTTGCTAGTTCTCTTGTCTCGGCGATTCTGGTCCCCCGGTCTATGGTAGGGCCTCCACCTCTTTTGGGAACGTAGCTGCCAACGGGGTCTGGCTCCCGCTGAGTTCCAGGTCTCGGGGACCCGGGGCGCTCAGGGACAATGCCGCTTGTTCCAAGGGAGCTCTTTCAAAATACTGTAGACTATCCCACCGCTGCCACCAGTGTAAAGAAGCTCCTTGGAGACATCCATTTTTGTATAAGTATAGCTTTATTTCTAACTTAACGTATTTACAGTTGAGTGTAACAACCGCCACAATCGTAATTACTTCAGCTATATTTCGATTTAAAGCTTTCGTGACTGCAGGGATTCATGTTCTTGGTTCTTTCGGTAAAGTCACGTAGAAGGGAAATAATAAAATAAAACAAAATAAAATTCTCACGACGTTTCGGCCACAGCTGTCTGAAATCCATCGTCCTAATGGACACTGCTAAGCTTGGCAGCGTATTTTAAGCTGGGTGGGAGGAGGAGAGAGCCTTGACAAAGGAGTTTACATATCAACAGAGGAATTTAGCATATGTAAACTGCTTTGTCAAGGCTCTCTCCTCCCACCCAGCTTAAAATACGCATGCCAAGCTTAGCAGATACTGGCTGCTGACGGAAAAGTGGTACTGACAGCAGAGGGCTGTACACATGTCAGCAGAGGGAGTACATCGGGGGGTGAGGAGATCCAAGGAGAAGCTCAGGAAGGGGTCCATCTGGAAGCCCGGGAACCTGCGAGGAGCTTCCAGAAAGTGGGCGTGGCGAGGGCGGAGCAAGGCCACGCCGGGAGGATAAAAGAGGGTCCCGGGCGAGAGCTCGGGGCTGTTGACGGAAGTGGATCCCCCCTCGCAGCGACGCATTCGCCGCCGCCTCGACCACCCTGAGACACCGCGAGCTCGACAGCCTGCCGACTGTCGTCGCTGGCTGGTGCCGTCACAAGAGACGGATGTGTGTCGAGCGTGTAAGCACGCAGGGCGTCTATAGTTCCTTGACGTGTAGAATAAAGAAGGTGCCTTCAGAACCCTGCCCGAGTGATTCACTACACGTGGATAAGGATAAAAGTTACAAATCAGCACTAATCTTCCGCTTCAGAATATTTTTTTAAAGATGTACGATGCGAAGGGAGGAAACAAGGTTCCAAAATGTTGGTGCTGCGACGGCAAAGGCTTCGTCACCGATTCCAATGAGTTGTTAATGTTTTTATTGCGCAACGCACGACACAACTGTTACCCCGCGTCCCATTGGTCGCCGCGAGAGTTGGGCGGCCATCTTACGTGGGGTCAGCCCCTCGTTAAGATGGCCGCCGGGAGGCAGGGGGAGTGGCGGAAGTGACGTAGCCAGGGAGGTTGTTGTGCTCGGAGTCGCCTTCCCCTCGGACGCGGGGCCGCGCGCGGCGCCTCCGCACTCCACTGCTGGATGAGCAGCACCAGAGCCTCGGTGAACGGGCATCGTTAGAGCGCGACGTGGAGAGTGAGCGCGAACTGCACTCGGGTAAGAGGGGGGAGGCCACCAGTACCACGACACCACGAGAACACGCGCCACGACTGGAGATCTCGTGCCACGGCCACAAGTCACAATACGCGTGGCGGCACGGTGACGCAGCGCGGAGGGTACACGCTGTCCCCGTAGAATGCCGATGGTAATGGGGAGCTGCACTCCCGCCATAGGAATGGTGAATGTCCATCCCGAGCTGGGGGGGGGGGGGCTGCTGTAGTAAACAAGAGGCGGGCGGGGGGGGGGGCACCGCTTCGATGCTCATTTCAGGGGGTAACGAGGCCGACTCGTGACGGTAATCGGTTAATAACAAGAGAAGTATAGCTCCATGATCGTGCTGGACAATTGTAATTGCTGTACTTATGACAATAGCGCACCGCGATAACAGCAACATCTGTAAGCCTGTAAAGCGATTATTGTAAGATGAATGTGCTGTGACAGTATCGGTACAATGCCAGTACAGCGACAGTACACGTGTCGTGTGTACCACGGCATCTCTACAGTACAATTGCACAGCTTGGGTATAAATGTCGCGACTCTTGCCACATTTCCCGGAATGCAGCCGGATCTCAGAAGCGAAGAAGGCTTTGATCCGGAGAAGTCCCCACCATGTGGTGGGGGGCGTCTTGGGCTGCGATGTTTGCGTTGTGGGCAGCAGGGAGTGCAGAAACAGAATCTAGCTGCTGCATGCTCCGTGAGTTCGTCAGCTCTACTACCAACCAACACCGACTAATGTGAAGTGTCGTGTCGGCCCAGATGGTGGAGTCGTCCTTGTGGAGACCCCCCCGCGTCTCTCGCTCACACTCGGCTAAAACAAATATTCAGACATTTTTCTGAATTTAGCACCCCCACATTGACTCTCAAGCACACCCAGTTGCTGAGGTTTTGGCTCTGGTCGTTCGTACAAGCCCCAGATCATTCACTCCCTCGCTTGCACACCAACAACAACAAGGCAGGAATGGTTGTGCACTCTTGTGGGCGATTTTGTTCCGCGTTGCAATTCCGTTCAGCCAAAACCAGCTGGAGCTGGGTTTAATTAGAAACACGTGACAGATTGTCTTCTCATCCAGTGAAAGCAACGTTATCAATTGAAATACGTGTGCAAGATTCTAGTCGGCGCCCAATTAGTATACCGCGAGGCTGTGATTGGCAGGCTCCAAGCAGGCCCTTAATTGGACCACTGATCATCTCAGTACAGGTTCTCGAATCCTGGAAGGAATACCGCGACTAGCCCGGCTCCACACCTTGATTTGCTCGAGACGTTGTGGGGCAGTGCGTTGCTCCCCCTTCCCCTTCCTTGAAGGGCCCTTGACGCGCGGGTCCCTAAAAACCCCAAACATGAATGGACATGCACGATGATTTTCCTGTCGTTTTGTGTGCAGGACAGCATTAATGATTCAAACTTCGCGGCTGTCTGTCTTGGTACCACACAGGGCCCAACCGGCCCGGCTGGCACGGGGCACGATGGCCAGCCCGGAGGCGATGGCACTGCGGGAGTGCGGCCCGCTGTACGCCGTAACGAACGCACTGCCCGCTCGGGTGTCCCGTGGTCTGCGCTCCGTGCCGCTCCGCCTCAGTGTGCTGGACGCCAGCAGCGAGTACCTGGCGCTGGGCACCAACGTGGGACAGGTCTTCCTCTACTGCCGGCGACGGCACCGCTTGCAGAAGCTCGATGTGCGTCCCACTGCACATGCCGCTGGAACTTGAACGTCACTAACTGTCGCTTTAACCAATTCTGTAAATGATGAGAAAATCCCATCGTAACAGAATAATATTGACTTCTAATGAGGATGAAGCTTGGTGCACGGTTGTCTATCACTGCGTCGTCACTACTGATATGAATTGGTCACAGCTCGCATTTATTGTGATGGTGACCTAAGACAAGAGGACCAAAATGCACTTCTTCAGGTGTTTGAATATTACAAATACCGTGTGCCAGATTAGCACATGGCGTGGCTTTCGTGTGTGATAATCCTGGCTTTTCATGAGCTGTAGATCTAATAGACACAGCAAGTGCTCTTGGCAAGTTGAAATAGCTCGCCAAGTGATATAAATTGCTACCTGTCTTTGTGGAGTTAGTGCTATAGTATTTTATCCTTCGGTTTACTGCAGAAACTCCAGTTTCCTCCCACATGCTAACGTCATCAGGTAGTAGTTGGCCTAACATAAACGCAGGACCCTCCTGAAAATATCTTGATTCACTCGGTGAGGATTTTGATGGCTATGCAAAACATTTAAATTGATGAACATGTTATAAATAAGTAAGTTTTTTAATAAAGTCCAATCCATAATGAAAAGTTGAATTACAATTGTTATTTTCATTCTCAAATCGATTGTTTGAAAGTGAAGATTTAAGGGCAGTAGTCGTCAATTGTGTTGCGCGTGTGTCTCTTGCAGGTGAAGTATGATCCCATCACAGCTGTGAGGCTGCTCACCTGCCTGGATGACCTGGTTGCTGTGGGAACTGCTACTGGCCGGGTGGTTTTGTTTCAGCTCACTTCTCCGCTCCCTGGACGCAACAAACAGGTTTGAGCCTGGCACTAGGAAGGAGTTAACTCGTGTGGAGAGCACAGCTGGGCCAGAACGAACCTTGTCTTAGAGTTGGAAGACAACCCCCATTCTTATTTAATTTATATTTCACGAAATTAGGTTGTAGCGATAAGAGGTGAAGACAGTATTTAAAAATAAAACCATTGAGTTGGCCTCGTGGCTGTGTTTTAATCAGGAGCCAGCACTGCTGAAATAATGGGTTAAAATTCGCAGTTATCCATAAATTAGATTTTTAAGTCTAGCCGCTTGATAGTATCATACAGTCACCAATGACTGCATCAAAAAGTTTTCTGCGTAAAATGTCAAATTTTTTATTTGCCATACAGTTTTGAGGACAAATCAAAAAATATATTGATTGGAAATATTATCATCACACATTTACATCTGTGCCCACATCAACTTGCGTGTGTGTTATTGTACGGGTTTGTGCCTGTGTTGATGCATTCACTTGCAATATAATTTGATTCCGTGTGTATTTGCATTCTTGTAAGTTTGGACAGCTTATGGATGTATGTGCTTCGCATATATTATTAGCTGCGTGGCAGTTAGCTCACTAAATCCCTCCGACTGATTTCTGGCCATGCCAGATGCTTTCAGTTTCATGTATTAGGTGTAGCCCTGTGAGCCATGCGGCTCTCGACTCGGGTGCAACCACAACAAACAAAAACGTGAACAAAGAACATCTTAAAGTGACTATGCACAACAGAAAAATCCAGGAAAAAACAGCAAAGTCTTCCAGAAAAAACACCGTATATCAACTCTGTGTGCAAAAATCCCAGTGGGATGCAAGTAAAACAATAGCAACTATAAGACAATTTAGATTAAAGTTATCAGGCTAACTCTGTACTTCAACAAACAAACATGGCTAAAGTATACGTTTCGAAATAAAAATAAAGCTATAAAAACAATGTAACAGTTATCATAGGAACTGTGATTAAAATTTAACAATAAACGATATACATAACATGTACGACCAAACTTTGCAGCCATAGCTGGAAGCATGAGTCACTCCATATCAGCAGGAGTATACACATTTTTAAATGCACCTTTAAAGATCAGTACACTATAATCAAAGCTCAAGATCATACTTTGCAGCGATCATCCAGAATTCCCTACAGCAGAGGTGTAGGGAATTCGATCAAGACCTACATCTCTGCTTTATTGACCTGGTCAAGGCCTATGATATTATCAATAGGTTAGGGCTGTGGGCAGTTCTTCGTGCTTTCGGAGTACCTGATTCTCTGCTCACAATCATTAAGGGCCTTCATGATGGTAGACAGGCCCAGGTAAAGCTACATGCCACGAGTCGGAGCCATTCCCCGTTCACCTTGGGGTGTGACAGGGATGTCCTTTGGCTCCCACATTTAACACCATTCGAGAAGCGTTCCATGGCCATCTGGTACAGATGCAATGGGAGACTGATCGATGCCCGGGCGCGGTCGAGGGATGGCTCCCAATTGGTCAATCATGTTATGTATGCTGATGATCTGGTGATTGCTGCTCACTCAGAGGAGGAGTTGGAGGCGTTGCTGCTGAACCTGGAGTGTCCCACTAAGAGGTGGAGTCTTACCATCAGCCCCACTAAAACTAAGCACCTGCCTGGGCATTTTATGCCACCAAACACTCCGCCCCCTCAGCTCCCCATTGGTAATGGAGCAGTTGTGGCGAGAGTGGAGAGTTTCCGATACCAAGGCAGTGTACTTATGACCATCTCCGGTTTGACAGGTCTCACTCGGAATCAGTTTGGCGGCATTATTTTTTTATCGGCTGCGCAATGCTGTGTGGAAGCTTCCTGGTCTGTCACTGCATGAAGCTTCGGGTCTTCTTGACCACAGTCATGCCCTCCCTTATACTCTTAGTTTTTTCGGTAAAGTCACGTAGGTAAAAAATGTGACTTTACCAAAATTCTTGCAGTCACGAAAGCTTCAAATCTAGAATGCCCTCCCTTCTCTATGCTTGTGAAACGTAGACCCCTTTAATAGAACATCTGCGCCGGTTAAAAACATTTAGGCTGGCATGCCTACTATCCATCCTGAGTTTGACCAGGCTGGATTGTGTAAGGAGCTGACAAATCCTTGAAAGATTTGGACACATTCCCTTCGCTGAGCTCCTCCAGCAGGCAAGGCTGCCTCGGCTGGATCATGTAGCTCGCATGCCCAGCCACCGCATGCCAAAGCAGCTTCTGTTTGGCCACATAGAGAGGGCTAAACGGGCAGGACATAGTCTGGAGAAGAGATGGGCTGATGCGGTACCCGGTACGAGAGGATGTGGAGCTGAGTGGACTTGCCGACGACTGGTACCAGCGGTGTCAAGACCGGCCTCTATAGAGGAGACTCGTGAAGGACAATACTGGGCAGTTGGCGGCCCTCCAGCAACAACGGAGAGCAGTGGAGCGATGCTCACAACAACGAGCGGAGGGCCAGGCGGCTAAAATGCAGCAAATTGGCACAGTAGGGGATACAGCTGGTGCATCTACCGGTCATCTCAGTCAACCAACCCATGGCACCTGGGTCTGTCCCAAAACCAGTCGGCGAGCCTTCGATACTTCACGTGGACTCACTGCACCTGGCCTGGCACAGGTGCCATGGTGACGTCACCGTTACTTAGTGGCGAATGGTGGGTATTGGATTGGTAGTGTTAAGGTTAGTGCACTACGTTACGATCCTGGTGATCCGGGTCAACACCAGTGACGATTATCTGAACTGGTCCTAGGCCTCTCCTAGGTCGACTCAGCCTCAAATGAGTACCTGGTGCAGTGTGTAAACATTGCTACTCGGGGGACAAAGGCGGTTGGGCGTGGTGCTGCCCACCCCCTCGAGTGTCGTCCCGGCCTTCATAGGTGCTCGGCAACAGCACTTGTTCCTACACTCTTTGTGTTCCTGTTGGTATAGCAGCACACATAGGTTTGTTGTTGTTTGCGCTGTCCTGGTCCTTGTGCCAATAAGCTGCACAGGTTCGAGGTGGCGGGCCAGCACTCTGTGTCTGTCGTGGCACTAGCTTGGAGCACCAATGGCATGAAGCTGTTCTCGGGCGATGAGCGTGGCAAGGTCGTCTGCACCAGCATCGACTTCGAGCTCGTGAGTAGCAGCTGCTAACATGAGCCCTGGGCTAAATGGCGACATACACACAAAATAAATACACCACAGAGCAGAATATTCAAGACTGCAAAACAGAAGCATGTTGTGGGAGTTGGTGATGCCTTGGCATTTCAGGACTGAGTCATTGCAAACCCTTTCATCGAGAATCTTCGGAGAGAGAAACAAACTCATCGAGAAAAAGTTAGTTGCTTAAGGATAATGAAAACAGCTCATTATGTTTTGGAATGATCGAAGTCAAAATTATTGTGGAGTATAAAATATATAACCAAACAGGACCTTGCCTGTAACATCTAGCAGTTCACTGGCATCAATTCAAGTATTTGTGACCTTGTTGGTGAGATACTGCATGTCAAAACTGGTCCAGAGGTTTTTAAATCAATGGTGCTGAAATGATGTACTCCCAGAAGGCTGTGTGGCTGATGGTTGTGTGAGAAATACTTTTTATTTTTGAGGTGGAGAGACCGATGTATGAAATAAATATTGCCTGCTTTTCTATTTTGAACACTGAAAGCAAATGTTGGGGCTCGCATCCTCTCCATCACTTCCTTCCCCACCTCCCCCTCATGGCTGACAGGGCGTGTGCAACTCGTTTCTGGTGCACGAGGAATGCAGCGGGGTGGTGCAGCTCGACTATGCCCAGCGCACGCTGCTTGTCTCCACTGGCCAGCGCTCCGTGCTGTGCTTCCCCGAGACAGGACAAGCCGCGCGGCAGGTCGGGACCAAGCCGCGCAAATGGTGAGGGGCCCCTCCGAGCCATGGCTAGGTTTGCCATGGGTTTGGCGATGTTGCCACGTGTTCCACAACGTAAGATACACACGACAAATGTATCCATTGACTTTCTGCAGTATAGCTGTATTTATGATGAAAATAACTGAACGGGAAAATTGCCCAATTCGAAGTCACTAGCTCTTTAAAGTATCCATCAGCTGTGGCTTATTTTGTTGATATTGTGTTTCATTGTGTTGTAATGTGAGCCAGAGAGAATCACAACATCTGTTAAATGCCTCCCTTAGCTAAATAGGATATTAAAGAAACTCTTTGAAGTACACAGGAACCCGACGTCGACATCATTGCAGTGCAGAGTAATGTGGAGCTGTAACTTTGTTGTGGCATGTGCCTGTGCCAGCACGGAGCCACTTGGTGCGTGCTTCATCCCAGGCCTGTGCAAGCCGGCCGACCTGACGCTGCATGCCGCGCGGCCCGGCCTGCGTCTCTGGCGCGCCGACATGGCCGGCGCCGTGAAGGCCACGTACATCTTCCGTGACGTGCTGGCACTGGACCCACGGCCCGTGCAGCTGACGGCGCGGCCCACGGTGGCGGCAGGTGGTGGCGGCGATGCAGGGGAGCGTGCCTTCGGGCTTCTGCGGCCTTTCCTACCCACGCAGGGCCTTTTGATGTCATGGAGCCCCAGCGGCCTGTATGTGTTGGACCCCACCAAGCAGGTAGCGCCAGTGTTTAGTCCTACACGGCACTCCAGTCGGGGATATACCCACCAGGTGTCACCAGGCCATGCAGAGAGCCATTTATCTGGGATCTCTCGTTAGTCCAGAGCATTGCCCCCTTTCAGAGATACAGGTGGACGTGGGTTGGCCCTTCAAACATTTGTAATGTGAGGATATATCCGGGTCACTGACGGATCACAACTCGTTACGATGATTGGCTCTGCCGGTCCTGGCCCATAGCCAATGGGGGGGAAGCCTAGAGGCGTGGCCCTGACGTAATGGGAAGGTGACATCTGTAAGTAGAGGATTGGTTCTGCTGGCTTTAGCCACAGCTAATGTGGAGGCGAGTCAGGGGCGTGGTCCCGGGAGCCTACGATGGAGTCTGGAAGATTCCATAGAGGTTAACCAGGATTGGTGGAAAGGTACCACGAGACCCGGGTATTAAATAGGGGTGGAGACGAACAACACGTGGTCAGAACTGGAACGAACGGAGGGAGAGGCCACGCGAGAGCGGGGATCCAGACAGCCACGTGGCTGCGCGCGTCTCTATCCCTCTCACGCTGTCTGTCAGCAGCGTGAAGGAGTGTTGTAAAGAAAGACAAATAAAGACCGGATTCCAGAAGTCGCTTCCACGACCTTTATTACACATTTGAAAGGAATGGTTCCTTAGTTGCAGTCGTTGCTGGTGCGGCTGTTGTTATCTACCTCTGCTGTTAGGTGTTGCTGCTTGTTCACGTTTCTGCTTTTGTTGATGGCGTTGGTTTGCGCTGCTGATGTTTTGTGTTGTGCGTTACACCCCCCACCCGCCGCTCCCTTTCGATATCCAGGCGGTGGTGGGCAGCCTCGAGCTGGGAGCTGGGGACCTGGTGGCGGCCGCCTGCTGCAATGATGAAGTCTTCCTTCTGCTCGGCGAGCGGGAGCTGGTGCGCCTGTCGGCTCAGCTGCAGGGCACACCCGAACCAGGTAGGGCCTCCCACTCAAACATCATCAGGAGGATATTTACACGAAAAAGTCCAAGCATATTATAGATGATGAATGCTTTGTTTGGGTAATTTTTATCTTGTAAATCCTGGCTGAATCTAACATTGTCCATAATAAAGGTTTTTGGGTTAGATCGCGTTAGTATAAATGTGTCGAAACCCTCCACCACCCGACACAGCCAATAAGGAAGGGATTTGTCACGTGAACAAAGCGACATAGTTACTACTTCAGCCCACTGGTGTGTTGGAGAGTAAATCCACAACATTTACAATTTGAGTACTCAAATTTTGACAACTCAAATTGTGAATGTTGTGAAAGTCGGGTGGTGGAGGGTTTCGCCACATTTATACTTACGTGGTCTAACCCAAGAACCTTTATTATGAATAATATTGGTCGCAAAAGCCTCCATGTTAAACTAACATTGTCCATATCTGAGACATAATTTCAACCGTGATGAGGGTTACAAACTGAGTAATCATTGGAAAGATGTGATTAACCATGCAAAAAAGATGTAACTACACTTATTTGGACCATCTTATTTGACAGACAACTATTATAGGTCATTGATAGACAGCCAGTTTGTTGTTTTACCAGTTTTAGTTTTTTACTTGCTTTTCTTTTTTCACACGCTTGTCATGTTTGCCATGTGTGAGTTACAAACCGCACCTCTCCATAACAAAGGCTCACCCTCTTAAGCCTCACCTTACCATATTAATAAAAAGTGTGCCGTACTTGGCCCTTCCCCCCTTTCCAACCATTATATATACGGAGTGGTAGCTCTTGCAATCTCTCATTTACTTGATACAGCTGTCGTGGCTGTGACAGTTCCACCTGAAGACGGAGGCTTGTGTTGCCTCCGAAACGTCGTGATTTTTTAAATTTGTTTTACTTAACTTTTATTAATTTAAAATGTTTTACCTACGTGACTTTACCGAAAAAACCTAGGAGTATGAGTCCTTGCAGTCACGAAAGCTTCAAATCTAAAATAGTAAATGGCAAACTAAGACGATTGAATTCCTTCGGTTCATTGCACTGTTATGTTGTTCACCTCACTACATATTAAGTTTTTCTTACTCTCATCCTCGGCGTGAATCAGCTGTCCCGCTGACCGAGAGAGGCGTGGGGCCGGGCGTCCCAGCGGCCGATACCCCAACCGCGCTGCCCTCGGCACCGTACGGCGGCTCCCCCGTCCCCACGGCTCGCCCGGACGCCCCCCCCACCATCACAAGCGCGAGCACCGGCCCCGACGATCGGCCCGTAGCGATGGCGACGTCCCCCGGCTCCGGGTCGGGGACCGTGTCCGCTGCCGAGCAGCGCGCGGGTGGCGGAGCCGACGTCGCCGTCGAGGGAGGGACATCGACGGCTCACGCGCCCAATGCCCCCGCGCCGGACGCGGGGCCTGAGGATGGCTTGGCGGCGGAGCCCGTGTCAGAGGTTGGGTCGGGGGTGGCCGCCCGGGAGCCCTTGCCAGAGCAGAGACTGCGCTCGCTGAGCCTCGGGGAGCTGGAGGAGGAGGGGGGGAGGGTCCTGGCGGAGCCGCTCCGCAGGAGGAAGAAGAAGAGGCACGGTGAGTACCTCGTATTTATTTAGTGCGGTCGCTTTTGTCATCATAATGGGCCGTGCTCTATCCACTGCCAGATGAAGGCCTCTCCATCGCCATCTTTCATGGTCTCGCGATGAACACAGTCCATCTGGCTCGTGCAAACGATTAATCGCGCCAAATTTTCTCTCGGTATGTTTCATCCACGGTTCGTATCGACCACTAGCCTTCCTACCTTTTAGAGACGAGCCTTGCCCAAGCCCATTTAGCATTTAACATAATATGGCAGCAGGAGCACTTTTATATCTGTTGTCCCACTACGTGTCGCTGTCGTTATAACATAATGTATCGAGGAAGCCTCATCGAGTCTCTTGACTCTTATTCAGGAGGGTTCTGCATTAGGATCTTCAAAGAACGTTGTGCGTGTCGGGGGAACAACGAGTGTGTGCATGCGTGCGAATAACAAATAAGGGATTGATGATGATGCAGTAACGGTGGTAAGACATTTTACAATATTTTTAGGGGAAAGGTGTAGACTGGTTGGTTGATGATGATGATAATGGTGATGATTATGTTCACATGCAGAGGGGAGCGGCAGCTTGGTGGAGGACAGCTCTGCCCCACTAACCGAGGAGAACCCGAGCAGCACGACTCTACCCCCAGCCCACGTGTCTGCGGGGGCCTGCGCAGTGCCCGACAGCGTCCCGGAAGCACCTATAGCAGACCTTCAGTCGGATGGGAACAGCGCCTCGTCCGGTGTTAACAGTGCGGACGCCGTGTCGGTCGCTGCCGTGCCCCAGGAGCGCGTGTCTGCGAAGAGCTCGTTGCCCGAAGCCGTGGGGTCCAAACCACGCACCGACGCGTGCAGAGAGGGCCACACGGGGAGGGGAGCGGCCGAGAGGCACGGCCCCATGTCACTGCATGACGAGTTACGGGAGCTTGGGGAGTGCGAGGAAACTCCTTGGACCTTGCACCTCACGGCTCTGGCGGCCGGACATTCGGAGAATATATCTGACGAGACGGCAGACGTGGATGTGTCGTCTTCGCTGCCGAAGCCAGCTGTGGATGTGAACAAACAGTGGACATCATTGAGCAAGGTGCCACAAGAAGACCTCGTCAAACAGCACCGTAGCGACGCTCCTTCACCCCTGATTTTCTTAGACAAGGACAAATCGCAGACGGCGATGGCCGCCTATGACTACCGCAGATCTGACACTCGAGGCACATTGCTGGGCGCCCCTGGCGTCGCTGCCGGTGTCAGCAGGAGCCTCGATCACCCTCGGCAACAACGGAGCCCGGGCACCAGTGTCGACAAAGGCCGGTCGGGCAGCGTGACCTTGGCAGATGACGGCAGTTTGGCCTGGTTGCTGGGCGACGAGGCTCCTCCCCGGCACGACGAGGCCACCGGGAGCGTCGCGCCGCAGGGCAGCGGCTACTTCGGGGAGACCGTCCCGGCGGCATTTCTCGTGGACGACCAGCACTGGTGGAAGAAGCTGACGGCGGCGCACGAGGGGGGGAACGGGGAGCCCCGTTGCCAACAGGAGGAGGAAGCGCGGCGGGAGGAGGAAGCCGAGCCTGCCGCACGGGGCGACGGCTCTGACGAGAGCGACGGCGAGGACATCTACGCGCGGTGGGCGCCTGCCTCGTCATCCGACACCAGCGTGGCCTGACGCGGAGGGGACTGTGCCCGGCGACGCCGAGAGCCCCGACGAGGTGGCCGGGGGAGGGTCGTCCACCTCGTCGGGCTCGGCGTGCGAAGGCCGGCAGGCGGCCGGCGGCTCCACCCCGAGCGTGCCGAGGGATGGGCAGGTGCGTGAAGCCTGCACGCCGATGCACTGCCTTGCCCCTTGCACTATATGCGGTGCAATACAACTCGGTGCGCTGTCCTGCGTACGTGTTCATAGCCCCTTTTTGTCAATTCACTGCTGGATGACGGCGCCTTCACTGTACTGGTTGGTGTGGGGAGCTGACAATTTCTGCACAACATTGGGTTATGCTGCACTGCTCTCTGCTGTACTGCATTTCAATTCTACATGATGCTATAATTTGCAGTACAATATATTGCACTCCAATATAATTCCCAGCGACGTACTTTTCTACATTGTAGTGCTGTCATGTCAGTCCCCCGCGTGGCGATGGTGCGGTGACTTTGTTGGTGGCGATGGTATCGGCTAGTGACGACGTTGCTCGTGTCGCCACCGACGCTGACGGTGGTGGCGTTGTGCCGGCAGCTGTCAGAGTGCTGGATGCGGCACGCGGGCCCGGGGTCACTGGCCGCCGGCCTGGCCGTGTCGGAGCGCCACCTGTGGTGCGTGGACGGCCGCGGCGTCCTGCACTGCGCACCCGTGGCCCCCGCGCCGGCTGGGCTGCTGTGGCAGAAATACGAGGAAGGTGTGCGCCATGTGGCCGTGTCACCTTCCGGTGAGTGTGCCGTCCTTCCTGCTCCCGTGGAGACACGAGTAGTAGGTTTATCGTCTTAGCTCCCAACCCTATTCTAACAAAGTGGTGGCGCACTGCTCTTTTCAATATATTCAAATCGAAATATCGGTATTTACAGAACCACCGTTGATTGATCACCATCATCAGAAGTCGGACGATTGCTGTGTGGTGGCATCGCCGCTGTGCATTTCCCCCACCCGACTGTGAAGCTGGCGTATGCGTGCTGTGTGCACGTGTGCGCCCGTAGGCATGCTGTTGTGGAAGGTGGAGCACAAGTCGGGTAAGGCGTTTGCCGCCAGCAAGGCCACGATGCGCGGCAAGCGGCACTGGTACGAGGCCCTGACGCACGTCTCGCATGTGGCGCTGGGAGATGACTCGGCCTGGGTCGTCAACGTTAGCGGGCAACTCTCCGTGCAGACTGGTACGTGCGTGTGTGGGTGCGTGTGTGGGTGCGTGTGTGGGTGCGTGTTTACGTGTGTAGGCACCTCGAGACGACGAGCGGAGCGCCAGGCGGCTAAAATACAGTAAGTTGGCACAGGAGGGGGCACAGCTGGTGGATCTGCCAGTCATCTCAGTCAACCCATGGCACTTGGGTCTGTCCCGTGACCTGCCTGTGAGCCTTCGACACTTCACGTGGACTCAAAGTGCACATAACCTGGCACAGGCGCCATGGTGACGGCACTGCCACTTCGTGGTTAATGACGGGTAGTGTTGTTGAAGTGAGCAAGTGGTGATGCAGTTTTTAAGGCAATGTTCCACAAACCCAACGATCTGAGTTTGATTCCCAGCCATGGCTAACATCAGTGGAGAGTTGTATTTGACCCACTCCGAGGCCACCCCTAATTCGACTCGGTCTTAAATGAGTACCCGGTGCAGTTAAATATAAATATTAGCACTATGAAGCTCTGTAAACATCGGCACTGGGGAGCTGAGGCGGCCAGGTGTGCTGTTGGCCACATCATCCCCTTCATGTGTGCTCGCTCACAACCCTTTCCCCACACCAGCGTGCACGACTCCAGGAGGACCTGTGACCTGTGTGTGTGTGTGTGCGCGTGTGCAGGCCTGAGTGGGGAGCGGCCATGCGCGCGCCCCGTGCCGGTGAACAACTCGCCGCCACTGCTGCAGGTGGCGGCCCGCGCCGGCGTGGTGTGGGGCATCACGTCGCAGCCCAACGCCACACTCATGTGCCGCGAGGGAGTGAGCAGCCTCTGTCCCGAAGGCGAGCGCTGGGTGATCGAGCAAGCCTGGTAAACGGCGCGCATGCCCTCGCCGCCTCTCCCGCGCCGGGCAGCCACACCGCCCTCCACCTGCTAAGCATCGCGTTGGAAGCGTCGCGGAAGATGCAACCCAAATAACGACCCGATGCTATCTCACATTGAAGTCGTCCTGTTTGGAGCGTCTAAATGCGACCGCATCTCAAGTTGCTGTATCGAACAGTGGGACATGGGCTTATTTGTTTACTTAATGGAAAGAAAGTGACATTTATTGGCAAAGGAAAAGTGGATGGCGTTGAGGCGAGCACATGCGTTGGCAAGCAGGATATGATGAAAGCTAGTCCGTTCTGTGCAGTCTGTCACAGAGATTACTCTGAGCTGTGTGACGCATGAAGGAGGCTAGTATAATGTGTGACATGTTGAAGGCTTGCCCATGCCGAGTCACGTGCAGTGCAGGCTAGCCCATGCGGAGTAGCGAGTGACAGAGAGGACCCCTTCTGCTGTGTTGAATGCAGCGTGCAGCAGGGCCTGGAGGTGGTGTGCATTGCGCTTGGTGACGACCACACGGGATGGGTGCTTGATGCCCAGGGACGCCTGTGGTTTCGCACTGGGGTCACGTCGCAGACTCCTGCTGGGGAGGGGGACCACTGGTGGCAGGTGACGTCATCATCATCATATGATCATCATCGTTATTAACAGTAGCATTGTGGTCATTATCAGCATTAATTGTTTTGCAGCTGTTCTGTCAGAGTTATAAAATGAGAGAAGTCATTTTCATGCAGAATTGTTGCAGTCGGCACTATCAGCTGAAGTTGGCGTGACAGAACTACTTCTGATGTCTCTTCAAGGGGCCTCTAATCCACCATCTTAATATGCCATAAAAATGTGTTTGTTACATGGAAATCCAACTAAAGTGTTCTGTTCTCATTGCTGGAATAATCCAAATGAAGCAATAAAACGAATAATGTGATAGAGGTTTTTGTTGACAAGGCTGAAAACCATTATCTTCCTGCAGAACCCTCTAATCACAGTTCTCTGAAACGTGGATTAAAATCATAAGTTGTATAAAGCACCATCCGTAGAAACTGGAAAAAAATAGTCCATCTGAATATGATTCGAGAAATATGTGGTGGTTAGTATTTCAACTATTTCACATGCGCAATGCAGTCTAAACACTTACACCTTGACTTTGCATGAAATGTTATTCCTAGTTGGCACATATGTACAGCTGATGGCCATCTAGAGCATGTATGAACGAACAACATCTTGTTTATATACCCACTTCTGGGAATTCTGTATTGCACAAATGTCGCTCTGTATAGATTTGAATGTCTGTCTTGCTTCACACGGCGAAGTCAGCATGCGTTGCTGGGCATGTTGACTCTACTGCAATCACTGACGGAGCCAGTGGGGGGGGGGGTGGGGTGGCACGTGCCCCCCATTAGGGATTTCGATTGGATTATTGAGGTTTAATAATAAATCGGCATTTTGCGACCCCCGCTGCCACGGTGTAGCATATTATTAAGTGCCAGGGACTCTATGAGATGATAGGACAATAGTCTGAGTCCATAATTGGCAATAATTAACGGCAAAGGGGTTATAAGCGACTCAGAATTGTGCGCAGTTGCGTATACAATACACGACTTCCCTGAAGGCATCAACACCTTCAGCGAGCGTGATGCCGATCACATACGGTTCGAATTCGACCCTCGATCGATGGCTGCGCCATCGCCGCACACGCGTCGAATAAAAAGTAAGGACAATTCCTTACTGACTAACAACTCCTATAAATTTTTCATTGCTGGAGGTGATTCCCCCCCTACCTGAAAATCCTGGCTCCGCCATTGACTGCGATGGTCCCTACTCTTGGGCTGCAAGGCCTTGGGAAGTAGTTGGTGGAACTGTTGTGTTTCTTCACAAGACACCACACGTTCTTTACTGCATGGTGGTCCTTAAACTTGTTTTGATGGTTGACACTGGAACACCGGTCCACAAAGGTTGGGAACCACTTGTCTCTTGCTTTTGCGGCAAAAGTTGGTGAATCATGTAGATTTGTGATATTACAAACGTTCTAGGCTTCAGAGAAGCGAGTAGTAAGTGTGTTTGTGAAACACCCCCTCGCGTGATCCCCCATACGAGTGCACATTCTCTGGGCACTTGTTCCCTTCCACGTGCAAAACACTCCCAATCGAGCCTTGATATTCATTAAGGCTTTACTGTAAATACATTACATTTTTAATAGTTATGCAGATAGACTTATGATTGTAGAATTACCATGACTGGCTCAAAGGTCAAAGTTCACCTCATTTTCCTTAACATCCTCTGCTCCTGTTCTCCCCCCTCCCCTCCCTCGTGCACAACGGGCCCCGTGGTGTTCAGGTGTGCCTGAGCGAGTACGTGCTCTGCGAGCCGCCCTCCATCCTGCAGTCTCTGACGGCGGCGGTGGCGGCGGCGGGCGTGGCGGCAGCGGCGCCCGTGGAGATGCTCGCCGAGCGCCTGCGCGCCGTGCAGCGCCTGCGCGCCCCGCCCGCTGTCGGGGCCCACCAGGCGCCACTCCTCGCCGTCGGCCGCTCTGGCGTTTGGGTGCTGTCGGGGCGCAATGAAATTCACGTGTCGCGCGGGGACCTGACGGGTAACGAGCGCGCTCGCCGGCGATGTCGTGCCAACGGCGGTCGGTCGATCGAGCGGCTAGATCCGTGTTCTGATTGGCGGCTGACTCGGCCCTGTTAATGGTCGTGGCACACGATGGTGGTTTACTCTTGTGAACGATGTCACAGCATCGTTCACACTTAATTGAAGCAGGGCCGTTGACGTTTGCTAATCAGCAGGTGGAATTATTCAGGGCAAGCCGCCGCATTCAAACCTTATCTCATTCCTTTTGTTTACAAGCATTCGTGTTTCACAGTCGATATTTTAACCATCAACTACTTGGATTGATGAGCATCCCTTTGTGAGACCTAAAGAGGCCTTATCCTGTGCACAACGCCGGTGCCCACCTTAGGGATTGGACTCTGGAACGCCGGCTCACGGCAGGGAGGTGATGAGCACCGTCCCCATTTGAACGTGGGGATGTGTGTAACTTTTTTGAAAGCACTGCATGGCTTTTACAGCCAGGCTAACACATGTTTTATTTATACTTATCTATCATAGTGCTGTGGGGAGTTGTGGTCCAGTGGTTAGCATCCTGCACTTGGGAGAACCCAGCGACCTGAGTTTGATTCCTGGCCCACGACCATCACCAGTGGCGAGTGATGTCTGAACCAGTCTTGGGGCTCCCCTAGGTTGTTCCAGCCTTAAATGAGTATCTGGTATGTAAAAATCGGAAGTGGGGAGACAAAATACACCACCTCCATGTGCTGTTTGGTCTTAATAGGTGCTCACCCGACAGCCCTTGCTCCAGCAGTCTATGTAAGCTGCAGGGGGGATTCTTGTCTGTGCTCCCCATGTATCTGTGTACATGTATGTACGGGTGTGCGTGTGTGTGTCCATGTGACGGGCTCTGCAGGAGCCTACTGGGCATCTGTGGTTCCCCGGGGCACGGCCTCCACCTGCATCTGGCTCTCCGTGCTCGTCTCCCCTTGCCCCGTCCACTGTGGCCCAGGTAGCTCCCCGACCGTCCCACTCGTGTCGCACCTCCCTCCAGTGCGGGGCACCTCGCCGCAAAGGTGCAGGAACAACGACCAGGCAAAACAACACATCACTTGAATTAACAATAGCTGGGATTAGCATCGCTCCCGTTGGCATAGTAAGTGGGCTAGTGCTGCCCCCTACTGTTTACAACACAGGATCCCTGACGAGATCTCGGTGACAGCTCCATGGTATCTGCTTCCGTGGGCCGTTCGGCAACACGAAGGGGTGTGCTGCTCTGCCAGAGCTCTGATTGGATTTGCTAGTGATGTGCAGCCGACAGCACGATTAGATTACAACTGGGCGAAAATATAACGAAGATGACTCGGAAGAGCAAAATTTTACTTAGTTATCTTTCATTCATGAGTACGTTTTCTTTATTCCTACTGGGAGTTCAGAAAAGCACAAAATTACACAATTTCGAAATACAGTTTCACAGTTATGGGAAACCGATTTCGTAGCAACCATATTGTGAATCGTGATAGCATATTGTGGTGAAAAATTACATCGCGACAGCTGTTTGTGATATCCACCCGTGGCCTCCCCCAGGCCACAGCGTGTGGGCCATGCAGAACGGCGGCGAACTCTTCATGTTCTCATTCGAGCCGCCCGACGCCGGGGGGCGGCTCGAGCCCGCGGGGTGGCCCATCGTCGTGCCCCTCCCACAGCCGCCCGTGCAGCTGAGTGTGGCGCATGACGCCGTCTGGGCCCTCGACGTTGCCGGCCGCGTCTTCGTGCGCCCGCTGTCCCGCTCGGTTCCTGCTGGCGCCGTCTGGTTCCCGCTAGATCTCTCGCAGCTGGGTGAGTGCGCTGCCCGCGCGTGCGTTGTGTTCTTGCCTGTGTATTTTTCTGAAGTCTTCCGTCATTCATCCAGCTTATGAAGAGCAACTATTAGTTCCATTGCCTGAGTTGGTGAATTGCAGATACACCCGCACACTGCATTAACACGTATATTTTAGATAATGCGATGTAATACAGACCATGGCTTGAGTTGGTAGCTGCAGTCGGACATAGGGGAACCTTTGATTTTCTTGTAGTGTTTTGGTAAAAAGACTACTTATGTCCAATAGCATCACGATAGGCCTCTGCGTAGGAGGATGGCAACAGTGCGAGGTGTGCTGGAGGGTAGCAGCACTTAACACAGTGAGCCGTTAGTTGGGAAGATGAATCCACTGCGAGTTGGCTTGTGGAATGGTCTACCTGACCATATCACTGCATTGATGAGCCTGGATCATTCAAGAACAGCCTTAATCAAGTCCACTGGTCCCCACGCTCCTCTCCTTTGGCTGCCACTCCCATCATTCCGCTCAGCGAAATCCGCAGACTAAGACACAGATTGCCTCGACTAGATGAAGACCGACTAGAATTTAAAAAAATGTTGACTTAAGTTCTGGCAACAAGATTAAATGTTTGTGGTGTCTGAATCTGCATGCCTTCACGTGTGTGTGCGCGTGTGTGCATACCAGGGTCCACGCGTCTGGTGAGCGTGGCATGCGGTGGCCAGAACGTGTGGGCGTGTGACGCGGCTTGGCACCGTGTACTTCCGCATGGGCACACAGCCCCTCAACTCGAGCCAGATGATGCCCGCTTGGGTGGCCCTGGACAGGGACACACAGGTACGCTGGGCCTCCGGCCGCCCACGCTCCCCGGCGAACCTGAGTGGGTGACAGAGAGTCATGTCCCTGAACTCTGGCCCTCACCACTCCCCACCTTCCACCATTTCACGATTACCAATCTTTTCTGTGCATATGCAAAAGACAATGCCCATTGCACGCACCTGATGGTGGGTAATCACGCAAAGCTGTGCCAGTGGCGGGTCACGCGGACTGGAGTTGAGAAACACTGACTTCGAGCCCCAGAGCCCAATACGGGCCCAATTTTCTGGCTTGCTACTTGGACAGGTTGGTTATTTATTGGTTGAGGTGTTTATTTTTTGTCTTTCTTGGTGATTTTATGCTCATTGTGCGAGTAGTGTTACCGCAGAGAAACAAGTACTTGTGCTTTTTAATTTGTCAGCAGAGCCTCGTGCGATCGCCCTAAGAGAGGCCAAATAAGACAGCCACAGCCGTATCTTGGATCGGCTTCCATCGTCACCGCCACACGGTGGCGTAGCGTCAGCCATACACTACAGACATTAGGTCCCCACAGCAGAAGCTAAACATGGAGTGAGGACAAAAACAATTGATCGCCGTGTTTTTGTGCAGTTGTTGGTTGTCAGTTTTGAGCACTGTGTAGTGGAGAGAAACGCGAGCGTGCTTGTCTTACGGTGCACCATGACGAGAGTGCTTCTGGTTGCTAGAGAGCCAAGCTGCCCCCAACCCCTTTAAATGTTAGCGCCCCCGATGTTAGCGCCCCCTTCAAAAACTCTTTGGGATAAGCGAGCCTGCTTCTCCTGCGCCTTAATACACGCGATTGCTTATCTGAAGCTGCATCTGCGTCTCATTTCAAGCAGCATTTATTTGTTGCAGAAGACTTTTCTGTGTTAACACCATAACTAACCATTTTGTGTTCTCTTAATCCTGTCCAAAATGTGCAGATCAACTAGGGAAAATTTTACAAGAATTTTAACAGTCTCCAGTAAAATCCAATGCCCAGCACATGTGTGGAAAGTTTCTGTATTGAGCCAGATTGGATTGGGGAAGGAAAAATAAAACTCTCGCACGACTTGTGCCATAATTCTGAGGGGGCCCACTGTCTCGGCCGGAGTGATCGTAAACAAATTGCATCACGCAGGGAGCCGCGAGGCAACTCACAATTAATGAGCAAAATCCACGTTACTCTTGAACACAAAATTATAATTCCCTATTAAGTATGGAATGCGCCATTGGTCCATACGAGGCTGCGTGGGGTTTACGTCCATGTGTCGGATCTGGTTCATGGGTCATCGTTTTTCTTTTATAGGAGCGATATTTTATATAAATTTAGTTTTTATTAAAACTTGAGTTATCTGCAGTTTTTTCCAGCCGTGTCCTTGTAGTCATCCGTCAGCCGTCCAGTAAATCTCACCGGTCGCCGGGCATCTGTGCATCAGTCTTGTTACTCGAGTTATCGATGGATTAATGTTGTTGTTGAGCCGGATTGCATTGTTTTAGACGATGATGCTAATAATACAGTTGGTGATAGCAGAGGGCATGTCAGTTTGGGAGTAACTGCAGTGTTAGCTACAGAAGACAACAAAAGCTTGTTTGCAAAAGCAGGTCACTATTCAGAATAATTGGTTCACTTGCAAAACTGCTCGTGTTATTACGTATAAAATGGGAAAAATGTTTACCAGTATCAAAGTATGAAAAAATAAAAATAGGTTTTACCCATTTTGTAGCTGCTCACCCTGAGCTATAATGCCCTGATAGTGCATTGTCTTTATACTGGTCGCCTTTTGCCATTCTCTGGTTTACACTTGTGGTGAGACTAGGCCCTAAAGCTGTCTCTGGTGTAGACCAATCAGTCTCAAGGACAATGCATTAATATTATCAGAGCATGTTTGTTTGCATGTTCACCACAAGCACGTGTGTTTAATGCAGTAACTTGATGCCTTGCAAAAGGTTTCGGTTTGGTGTTTGAACATCTTAACACCTGTTTTATTGTCAGAAAGGATAAAACCTATTCTTATTTTGTATATGTTATTATGTAGGTGTATAATGATGCATCAACTCGCTAATTAAAATAGATTCCTATGCTCATAATACAGGTGTCGAGGTGAGAGTGTGACAGTGTGATTTAGGATTTGTGTAAAGTATTTGGTAATATTACATCAGGCTAATTGAGCAAACTGCACAACTGCACAAACAAGAAACAATACGATCAGGATCGTGAGGGAAAAATAAAGAATCAAATCTTGATCCGTGACCCCTGATCGGTGCCAATTTCGTCAACCTCTGAGAGCTTTGAAGCCTGGCATGCCTAATGTTGTTTTGTGTGCGTGTGTCCACATGTACGTGCATCGTGTACGTGCATTGTGTACGTGCATTGTATACACATGTGTGCGTGGGCTCGCCTTGCGCACATCAGAATTTCCAGCTGTGCAAGCTGTTCTGCAGCCCCAGCGACGCCATGGTGTGGGCGATGGACGCACGGGGGAACGTGTTTGTGCGCGTGGGCATCTCCCACACGATGCCCATTGGCTGCAGCTGGGAGCACGTGCCGGGTAAGTCGACCGTGTTAGTCAAGCCAAAGTGGAAGCCATCCCTCGCAGTTAAGAACGGAAATGCTTCACGTGCGACCGAAAAGTTCGGTAGGATGAGCATTTATTTTCCACATCGTAACTTTTGTTTAACCGCGAGTGCATTATTTTTTTTTTCTACCTACGTGACTTTACCGAAAGAACCAAAGAGTATGGATTCCTGCAGTCACGAAAGCTTCAAATGAAGATTCATTCGCTAGAGTTAATGCGTTTAATAAGAATAAAATAATAATGACAATAAGTCCATGTACCAACATGAAGCCGTCGATAACTGCATCTTCTACTCTCTCAGCTGCCTTTTGCAGAGACAAATAGACACGCCGGCTCTAAACCACGACAAGCCAGATGAGTTGCTCCTTCGCAGCTGCTCCTTACTCTGGACTCGTTTTATTTGGTGAATTAGGAGTGCCATCTTTGGTAAACATCGTGAGCTCACAGGGCAGTGTCATTCCCGACAGATTTCCAGCACAGGAAGTGAAAAATGCCAAATCTTTTGACAGATCTGCGTGTGTTTACGGCTCATGTGCACATTGTATTCAATGACCAATGTCTATGTTGAGCCACTGAATGTCGAAACCGGTACAGACTTTGTTTGTGTTGAACCAATGGCGCTGAAATTATGCACTCCCGGAAGGGCCGAGTGACTAATGGGATGTGTAAAGGAGACGAATTGTCGCATGTTGGTTACGTTGTAATGGCCGCATGCGTACTGCTGGACGCGCGCACGAGACCGTCGCGCACCGTGTTCACGTGCAAGCCCGTCGCGCGCGTTATCCGCGGCGCAGGGCTGAATGCGACGGCGCTGGCACTGAGCGAGCACACGGCGTGGGTGCTGTGCCCCGGCGGGGAGGTGGCACGGCGGTACGGCGTGCGGGAAGGCAACGCGGCTGGAGACTACTGGAAGCGCATCCCTGGGCAGCTCTCCTCGCTTACCGGTAAGCGCCGTGCGGATTTTATTTTTCGTTGGGTGGGATAATCCTCTTGCTCGGTCATTTGTGCAGCGGGGCTTCCAGTTGAGGCATGCGTTCAAATCCTACCATGGTCCCTGGCATGGAATTTTGGAATTTCTATCTCTAAGCTAAGCAGAATCCAGCCTGTATGGTGCATGGATGGGCAAACACCCTGGACAGGTGACGGGGCCACGTGACGGGGCCACGTGACGGGGCCACGTGACAGGGCCACGTGACGGGGCCACGTGACGGGGCCACGTGACGGGTAGCAGAGGGTAGGGCAGCAACATCCTTTCGTTCTGTACTTCTATGTGACGTCGATGCTCTTCATCTTCACCAACCCGCACTGACCAGTGTGGTGATGTATGGTTAAATAATCGGCACGATGGGAACAGAGTGAGGAGGCCTTTGTCTAGCAGTGGATCGGCAAGAGCGGCCAGCGCTCGTTACGTTGTGAACGAAGCGCGCGAGAGCTCATCTCGCGTGATCAGCGCTCGTTACTTGATGAGCGCTCGCGTCCATCTCACCACCGGTGCCATCCTCCTCTGCCCCCGCCGCGGTGCGACAGTGACGGGCGCGGACGAGGTGTGGGGCTGCACGCCGGAGGGCGCGCTCGTGCGCCGTCTCACACGCCCACTCCGCCGCTCAACGGGGGCGGCTGCCCCACCGCACGCCTACCGTCTGGGCAGCACCGACGACAACGACGACGACTGGGAGCTGCTGTGAGGAGGCGTGCCAGCCCGGCGGGGCGCCCACGTGGGCAACCGCTGCCTCCCTCTGCCCGCGTCGCCCCGGCGACGCGAGGGTTAGGGCAGCGGGTTACCAAACTGCGCTACGTGGGCCGCCGCTGTGACGCTGCCCAGCCGTGTGAAGCGTCGGCGATGGAACCGTTGCAGACGCTGTGGCTTTGCGTTGTTTTCATTTTGCAAGATATGTTCTTGGCGCACGGCGGTCCGCGAACATCTTTGGAGAGTTGGCAGTGATCGTCCGCGTTGTCCAGAAAGGTTGTAAACCACTGGGTTAGGGGACGTCAATCTCTCCACCAAAGTGTCCGGTATAAATGAGTGGAGTGTGTGGACAGTGGCACTGGAGAGCCTGCATTGCTGGAGTCTTGCAGATAAGTGGAGGTGGCTGTGGCTGAAGGGTATTTAACCAGTAATTCTCAGGTTAAAGGATGATGATTAATAAATTGCAGCCTCCACTGGAATCACCAGACCCAGCGTATTAAAGTTCTAACATTGTTACGAGTGATGGGCAGCGTGGCACCGAAATGAGGGTCTGATGCACTGTGGGAGGGGGGGGTGGTGGTGTGTATGTTTTCTGCGCGCAGCTGGCAGTTGATTCACGGTGAAGAGGGCGCCGTAGGGATGTTGTCGGGGCGTCACTAGCGCTGCTGATGTTTGTGTCGCCGACGTACTGAGGCCACTGGTAAGGTACATCATCCACAGCGTGCCACTTGCTGAGCTTGTCACAGGGGAAAATTCGCAGCCCTGCGCCAATATTGATGCTACTGCAGGTGCATAGCAGCCATTAATCTCGAGTGCGTAAGATGCAAACCAACCCTATAGTTTAACACGTAGTAGGCTTTCGCGACCAATATCATCCAGAAGAGGTTTTTGCGGTAAATATTAGGCAAACGTGAGGTGTAAGAAAACTGACGTTAGCACAAAAGCAACGCAGATGTAAATGCAAGTAGCGAGAACAAAGCCGAACATTAACTCTGCTGCAGCTGCAATAATCAACATGCTGCGCCCAGAGCTTGAGCCTCGCTCGAACATTGCACTTATTTATTTATTAACCGCGCACGGCTTTGCCAGCGCTACGCACTGCGACCTTAAAAGAGAGCAAAAGCCTTGCGCGCCTGCAATGCCATGCGGAAATTAGTCAAAGTATAATTTGTGTGTTAGTGATGTTACAGCGAGGGAAGGACGTGAGGGGAGTCCTGATGGCGGCACAGGACGTGGTATCATCTCTCGTTGCTCACCCCACGAGTGCCCAGCATCTCTCCGCCGGCCAGCAGTCGTCGCCACGCAGAAACGCGTCGACTGGCATTTACAAACTTGATGGTAGCGTTAGAAGGCTATCCCAATGCATACTGTACTATACAAAATCATTTTCTTTTAACTTTATTATAACTGTGAAATAAAACATTTAAACAGTAGTCTGCGTAGTATTGAAGTACTCTATAAGAGGTGATTTTTTTTGTCAGAACGTGTAAATAGTATATTTGGTGTTAGATTATGATGATGCAGTAATGTGTTATTGAGGCTGCTGTAGGTGCAGCCTGCCACTGTGGGCACAGGGTGGCTGGGTCACGGTGGTCTGGGTGTGGGCATGGTGCGGGTGTAGGGGGTGGTCTGGGTGTAGGGGGTGGTGGTGCGGGTGTAGGGGGTGGTCTGGGTGTAGGGGGTGTGAGAGGTCGTGCTGGGGAGCCTCTTTGCTGCACTTTGCCACCCAAGAAATTCAGATTCAAGAATCCGATTCCATTGGTCCCTAGACTTGGACCCAACATCTCCTGTGCAGGGTTTACCATTCTCACAGTAAAACTAAAACATAGCCGGATGTTTTCACCTGGAGAGGGAGTGAGTTTACCTTCACCTATCCGTTTGTAACAATACTAATTTATCGAGGAAAGCCTCCCTGAGCCTCGACTCTTTCAAAGAGGTTCAGCATTGGGATATTTTCTCAGGCATCAATTTGGAATTCGGTTTGCATGAACAGCATCAGAGTCGACCTTTCTTTCACTCAACATCATTTGTGTTCGATCGCCATAATTGGCGTTGTGCACTATGACGGGGGGGGGGGGGGGGGTGGATCCATGGTCTGTCACTCTACACGAGTGAGCGTTGCGCGACCGTGCGCAGTGCCGCCCGGGATTTGCAACCACGTTCATCCTGATCACGTCCCGAGCCGCGTTCACTGTCACCAGGCACGGTGGCAACCGCAAACTCCCCTTCCGTCGCTGCGGTGAAACTTGGCATTCTTTGTGCAAAAACACGCCATTTTTCAACCGGAGGCGATGAAAGGTGACACTGGTCCCATTCCTTTGTCCCATGCAGTCCGGTCTGGCCACATGGTTTGTGCTGAAAAGATTTAAACAACTTCTTTTATTTCAGAGCTGGAGTGATGGGCGGCCCTGCCCTGGGTAACTCCAGTTTCATGAACCTGGATTGTGGCGAGAACTTTTTTTGTTTGCTAAAAAAAGATTTTAGGTCGCAGATACGTCAAGGTGTCATGTTCTGAAAGTAGCATTTGTTAATGTAGCTCGAGTGAGGTCGTGAATCAAAATTAAAGTGTCATATCATGTTACCAGTTAGCTGGCTGGATATACTTAATGATTCATCTGTTCGTTACAATGTGTTCTTACGCGCTCTACGTATGCCCCGAGTCGTGTATATAAGAATCGGTTGTTTGATTTATATAGATTGCATTGAAATTCAAGCACACATGATACAAAGCAGGCTGTGCAAAGAGGACCAAACAAACAAGATAATGGATTGTGAGATTGAACCATGACCATGTTGTACAGTCGTGGGATGGGCCTCTCCGTGCCGAGCGCCTGGCTGTGTGGGGGAGACTCGATGCATATCGAGATGCAGTCGGTCATCTTTCAGAGATGGGGAAGTAAACAATCGCCTTCTGGATGGACAGGCCTCTGCTCTCATAATGTGGAATTCCCACCACTCAACCGTAACCGTCAAGAAGCAATCGTTGCTCCGCACTCGCTGCTCCGCACTCGCTGCTCCGCACTCGCTGCTCCGCACTCGCTGACCGTGTACAGGGACCTGAATGTGCTCATTTAAAAACAAAAGTTATCATGATTGTGTGTGCGGTGCCTGCTTCGATTGCCTCATACGTGCCTGCAAAGTGTCTTCGCATTCGTAGGTACCTGAACTGAAGTGTAACACTACTATGACTTCTACTACACACGATGTAATTATTAAATGTAAAAATTACACAGTTGTGACCATCCAATGGGTCACCGCGCTGCATGTGGAATGCATACCCAGCCTCGTTTGTTTTCAACCTGCACGCTCTTCTCATAATTTACAGAATAAAGTACGAGACAGCTCTGACTGAACTCTCATCCCTTGTATTAAACCCACATGCACATGGTTATTGGTCACTGCTCACCATGTGGTGATTGTCGCCACGCCACAGGAACAAAGCAGTGGGATCTTATAAATAATTTAAAAGTCATTTACACTTAAACATACTGGGTGGGTATCTGATGCCACAAATTATTAAAACTGGGAGGCGTCCAGGCTGTGGTACTTTTGGATCACACAGCATCTTGTTGCCGACCGTGTTTTTCTACTGCATCGCGAGCCAAATTCGGCGTTCTGGCCACAGAAAGTCACCGCGTAAGGTGTGCGACCTTTGTCCAGGTGCAGTTCACACGGCGAGCTCGCTCCCTGCATGAGTCTAAACAACACACATGCGTAACAAGCGCACGGGTTTTGCGCATGACTCAAAAGCCATCAGCATTTCATGCAGTGCATTGGCAGTCCCCTTTGGTCACCATGAACATAGATTTGAGTAAATGCGACCGACAGCAGCAGCAGACAGACAACTGAACCAATGTCAACCTCATTGGGACGCAGCACAGTGCAGCCTTCCCGAACTGCTCCAACCTGCTCTCGCCCTCTTTACTTCGCCGTTTTGATCTCGGTTTCGGTGGCTGTCCCAGGCTCACTCTGCAGCGATTTCCAGATGCCACCATCTCTTGTCGAGTGAACTTGTTGTACATGACCTGTATGTTACTCCGGTTGGTTCTATGTACCATGTCTCAACCAAAAAGATGTGTTTCAAGCAAGTGATGGGCCTGGGTCAGTCATGGGGCACAAGGCAGGTGATGATATGGAAACTGAAGCATCATACCTTGACGGAGATGGCGGTGGTGACATCAGTGGTGTGCGCATCACTGCTCACTCCGTGCATCACGACAAAAAACTACTACAGACGCAGCCCTGGAATCAGAACTGCATGTATTTGTCAGCTTTTCATGTATATAAATAAAAAACACATTTAGACATGTAGCACTTTTACAAGAAAAAAAACTAGTTCACAATCAGAATTTTCACAAACGTTCACATATAATACTGGCTTAATTTAATCATTCAATATATTTATATGTTCTTTATTCACACTATTGCACGGATGTGTACTACAGACAGATAAACCAGCTACACTCGGCATCGCGGAATGAAGTGGGTGCACGCACAGCCCCGGGGGAGGGGGGGGGGGTCTCAAACCGAGTGCCCTGGTCACGGCGTGCCCTTGAGGCTGCTCAGAAAATCATCGATCGAGTGGCACCAATCGCCTGCATGCAAGGACACGTGCTTTGAGAGACGGCGCTGTCCGCTGGGCGCTTTCACCACCGCCCACGTCTCGTGCCAGGCGGGGGCTCGAGCCAGGTCACCAATGCCGCCTGAATTTGAGAAGGAAAGTCTGACCGGGCAACACGAATATCGCAGTGAATAAAGGACACCGATTATTTGCCGGCATTTTTATTGTCACTATACTTTGCTTCAGTGGCAGTGGAAGTAATAATTTGGCCTCGTGCACCGCCAAGAAATGCTTGGGTCCAACTGGACGCCTCTTGCCTCTCTGCGGCACACGCATGAGTTGTCTCGTTAAATCAACACCACTGGGAAACAACATTCTGTATATTCCACAAATCGCTACACCTTGGACGGATGATACCGACACGAACAAAGGGGACATCACCGTCTCCACAAGCTGTACGCCTTGCAATCATTGGCCGATATTCAGAGGAACCCCACGGCTGCCGACACAGCGAGACTACGTGGCGTTCTGCCTCCGAAACTACGTTTCTTGTCTCGTTGCCACTACAGCCGTCGTTCTTGGGGCCATTCCAACGCAACGCTGTTTATCGATGGCGATACAGCACGTCGAGATTGAGGACCTCTTCTGGAGACTTGGTGCAGGTGATTTATTGACAATTGTATTTCATGCTTACGAGTGCCTTAGTTCATCCCGGTCTGCTGATCAGCAGTGTCATTTACTTGTCAACATGGGCGAATTGAAGCCGACATTGATGGACGGACTACATTTGGTCTGGAAGTCCTGGAGCTGAAACCATTGTTGTGAAGGGCTTGGAAACGCGTGCGTACAAATCAGACGTTTGCGGCAGGGAACCAAGATTCCAAGATTCAAAGCCACAAACGGAACCGGGAGCAGCACTCAATGTAAAAAAAAAATCGATATTTTAAAAGTTGCATTTTTATAAAGTGTTTATAAATCGAAGCCCGTAATTGGTGAGCAGCTAAACAAAGATGTTGCCATCCTCCTGCACAGGCACCAACTGTCATTCCAAACAGAGAATCGCACGACACAACTAACAACAACACACATCAGTCTGCAGCAGAGAATGAGGTCACCTGCCACAACAACGGCACGATTTGAATGCAGGCATCGAGGAGAGGACAACACCGCCGCTCTTCCCCAATCGTCGCCCACGCTCGCAGCCAACACAGTCCCGCCATTAATAAATAACCTGAAGAGGGCAGCATCTCACGGCGCGCACGACACAACAGCGTCGGCAGAGTGTGTTACAGGTATCTTCGTTTCGTCTTGTATTTCTTTTTTTATTCCGTGAGTACAAAGTGTGGGATTTGGATTGGTCCTTCAAACCTGGATTACAAATATGTCCAGGTGTACTGCAGTTAATGGGTGGGGGCTCGCGAAGTTAGAGGCCGACCCGTAAGCACCTTGGTTGTTATGCAGGCAAAACAGACTGGGCAATAATTCGACTGGAATGTCATTCCGTAGAACGTGACAGATGGGGTGAGCGCACAACATTAATCTGGAAGAAACGCGTCTCGTTTTAAATAATTTGCGTTGTATAAACGTAACAGATTGCTAAGTGGGTTATGGAAAGCAGCATTTCCTAATCTTCTTCATGTTCTCAACTTTTATTTATTCATTTACTCGTTAAATCTTACTTCATTGCGTATTGGTCAGGAAAATAAATTAAACGCAGGGAAGAGGCTGAACAATTGTGCAGAAATAAATATTTGTTTTAAAAAATAAACCAACATTAAAGTACTGTAATATATATTTATATATAAAAATGAACGTCTGTAGGAATGTAACCAAAAGGTCCCACAAAAATTAAAGAGTTTTGCCAGTTCCTTGTACGAGCTGGGCTTCACGTAAGCTTTTACGAATTTGAATCGTACAAAAAAAACCTACAATTTGTGGAGATGTGTTTTTGCCGGTGTGGCGGCGGTGCGAGGTCACACGGAGCAGCTGTCGGGCGAGGCATCCGCGCGCTTGAGCCACACGTCCGGCACGCCGGGCTCGCTGTTGGGCAGCACGATGGGGTCCAGGGACCGCGTCGCCTGGCACGCGCCGGCGCCGGCGCCGTCCCGCGTTCCCGCGCCGCCCCTCAGCGCCAGACGCAGCGCCGGCCGCATTCCGTTGAGGCTCCCCCTCTCGGCCACGGAGCCCACGCCCTCCAGGGCCTCCAGCAGGCTCTCCGCCGGCACCGCGCGCGCGATGAAATCCACCCCGCCGTTGAGCCGGCCGCTCCGTGGGAGCCGCCGTTGTGGCCCGACGCGGAGGGGAGAGCCCTCGGCGTCGTGGGGACCGGCGGCCTCCACCCCGTTCTCCTCCTCGGGTATCATTGGTGACGAGGAGGAGGCTACGGAGGAGGCAGCGGCGGGGTCCTCTTCGACGCCGTCCTCGTCCGTGACGGACGCCGCGTCGAGGTCGCGGTCGAGACGCTCGGGAGCGGAGGCGTCGCACGCGTTCTCGTCGGCGCCGTGCTCGCTCGTCAGCGCCTGCAACCGGTACTCCTCGGCGCCCGTGCGTGGCCCACCATTGCCGTAGTGAACCCGCTTGCCGAGCGTCGTCTTGGACTCCTCCTCCTCCTCCGTGGTCGTCTTCTTCTGGCCCGGGGTGCCCGCGCACGGCCGCGCCACGCCGCAGCACGAGTCGGGCGCCGTGGGATTCTCCCCGCGGGGCCCGAGGCAGCAGCAGAGGCTCTGGAAGAAGAAGGTGGCGTAGGCCCAGCTGACGGCCATGACGAGCATGAGGAAGGTACCGAGCTGCGTGTACGCAAGCACCGTTGACGGCATCATCATGGCGCCGGCCAGGAAGGTGGTGAGCGCCGCCATGGCCACGGCGGGGCCCATGCGGCCGAGCGAGAAGCTGACGCGGGCCCGCCGCCCGGGCCCCGGGGCCAGGCGGTACGCCACGCCGTAGTGCACCGCGAAGTCGACGGCCAGGCCCACGGCCACCGACACGGTGACGCTCTCCAAGACGTTGAGCTCCCAGCCGAGCAGCGCCAGCGAGCCGGTGGTGACGGCGATGGAGCCGGCGATGGCGAGCAGGGCGTAAACGCTCACGGCGAGGCTGCGCGTCGTCAACAGCATGACGCCGAACGCCAGGCCCACGGCGAGGCCCAGCGACAGCAGGGAGCCGGCCCACAGGCTGGCCTGCAGGTCGTAGAACTCGAGCGAGCTCACGAACCAGCCGCGGCGCAGGCCCGGCGGCGCCGTCAGCAGCTCGGCGCGCAGCCACGCGTCCACCTCGCGGCGGAAGCGCGCCATGCGCTCGTGCGCCAGCGTGAAGCGGTACGAACTCTGAAACTCCACCAGCACGGCACGCAGGGAGTCGTTGGCGTCGAAGCGCGGTCCCGGCGTGCGCCCGTCCAGGGTGACGCGGAAGCGCCGCTCCAGCTCCAGGACGGCGCGCTTGATGCAGAACTCGAAGACGTCGCGCTCGTAGGGGAACGCGGACGACGAGCAGCACGGGGCGAGGCCCACGCCGCCCAGGCTCAGGCCGAGGGGCCCGCCACGCCCCCCCGCGTCCCCGCCGCCCCGCGAGGTCGCGGCTCCGCCGCCGCCGCCGCCGTCTCGCCGCCGCTGCTGCTGGCGGTGACGGTGCTGGTCGTCGACGGCGTCGTCGCAGTCCTCCGACTCCATCCACTGCTTGAAGGTCTCGATGAAGCATCCGGAGAAGTCGGCCTCGCGCTCGCGGTGCAGGTAGAGGCTGTGGTTGCGCAGGCGTCGGCAGAAGTCGAGGAGCCAGAGCTGCGACTCTGCGCTCGCCACGTCGAAGCCGGGGTCCAGCACCAGCTTCCCGCGGTCGGCCGGGTTGAGGGGGTCCCCGTTGTCCTCAGGCACGACGCCCCAGATGAGCGTCACGGGCAGCGCCAGGTCGTCCCCGCCGCCCGAGCCGGGCCGGCCGGCACGCTCGAACGCGAAGAGCGCGCGGTGCTCGGCGTCGTAGCGCTCGAACGGGTGCGACGGCGCAAATACGCGGAACTCGGCCAGCTCCAGCGACGGCAGCCGCATGCCGGGCCACGCGAACACCGCGTAGGCGCCGCCGGCCGCCAACGCCACGAAGCCGCAGAGCCACGCGTGCCGCAGGCGCACGACGATGCGCGGCAGGAGCCGCTCGAAGAAGGCGCGCGACGCTGCCGAGGCCGCGCGCCGCGAGCGCTCCACCGCCGCCCAGAGGCGGCGCGGCAGAGACCGCCCCTCCCCCGCGCCGCCGGGGCGGCCCCCACGCGGGCGGAACACGTCGGCCAGGTAGCGCTCGTGCAGCACCACGACGGCCGGGAGCCAGCTCACCATGAGGCCGTAGTTTGCGAGGACGGCGGTGCCGGCGTAGACGCCAAAGCAGCGCACGGCCGTGATGCTGCTCACGTAGTTGGCGTAGAACGCGGCCGCCGTGGTGAAGCTCGTCACGAACATGGAGAGCGCCGCGTGGCGCAGGGTGGCGCGCACCGTCTCCGTGAGCCCCGCGTCGTCGGCGCCGGGGCCCTTGGCGGCGCGGCGGTCGGCCTTGGCGTGGCGCCACACGTCGCACAGCACGAAGGCGTCGTCGGCGCCGACGCCCACCAACACCACGAGCGCCGTGAGGTTCATGAAGGGGAAGAACTCGAAGCGCAGCACGACGCGGTACACGAAGTACGCCACGATGAGCGAGCTCACGATAGCGAACATGGTCATGAGCGTGACGAACGCGGAGCCCGTGTACACGCACATGAGCAGCAGGACGATGACCATGGCCACCGCCGGGTACACCGTGTCCGTGAGCAGGTAGTCCTGGAAGAGCGAGTGCTTGATGCCAAACTCGATGCCCACCACGCTGGTGACCCCGTCGGTGCGGTTCCAGCGCTCGAGGTTGTCGCGGTACAGACGCATCATGCCGTCGCCCTTCTCCGTGGGCACGAACAGCACGCTGTAGCGCAGGCGCGCCGCGCCCTCCCCGCCGCCCGTCGCCAGGAAGTCCTTGTCCACCAGGTAGTGCAGGATCTGGTAGACGGCGTTGTGGCGCGCGCAGCGGCGCGGCACGGCCTGGCACTTTGCGCGGTCGCGGCGCCCGGCGCCGGCGTCCCAGCAGTCGGGGCCCAGGCTGCCGTTGCGGTAGAGCGGCGCGCAGGCCTGCAGCAGGCGCAGGGCGTGCGCCAGGTCGCGCTCCGTCACTTCTCGGCACGACGAGCGGTTGCCCAGCAGCGCCACGTAGTTGCCGAGGGACCAGCTCGGGCAGCACACGGCGGTGGTGGTGCGCTGGCACAGCTCCGGGAATGTGCGGTGGGAGCTCACCTGCAGGACGGGACGTGCACGCACACACCAACACACGCATGCACGTAAACGCACGCACACGCACGAACACACGCACGCACGTAAACGCACGCACGAACACACGCATGTGAACGCACGCACGTAAACGCACGCACGTGCACGCACCCGGCCACATGGCACAGCGGTAGAGCAAACACAGCTTGTGAATTCCAAGCCCATCGTATCTCCGGGGGTCAATTTTCCTATGGATAGATTCACCATCATAACACTCTCATACACAGGCACACAGACACACACGCTCACACACACAAACACACGAGCGCGAGCGTGCACACGCAGACGCGAGGTGTGCGAGCCCTCCTCACCCGCGCGTCGTAGAGGCTGCACATGGAGCGGATGGTGGTGATGTTCCACAGGCTTCCCCCGTCCGCTGCGGCGAACACGACGCGCGAGTAGCCGTCCCCTGCAGCGCAAACGGCAACAACATCGATGCCGTTACAAAGTGTGCAGCAACAGCTTTTGCTGGAATAACACAAGAACAACAATTTAATCTCGCAGCGTGTGCCAAATGGAATTACTGCATGGATCAGATAGGCGGACTCCAGGAGTCTGAAATGAACACTAAATATGATGAGGAATAAAACCGGCTGCGCTGGGTGCATAGAGGAGGTTCTGATCGCCAAAACGGGCGTTGGAGTGGGCTCCACGTGTCTCGTGACCAAACGGAAGGCCCAAGACAAGGTGGTGGTTACAATTCCACGTGCGTGTGCATGGAATGTGTGACGGCAAAAGACACCACTGGGTGGTTGAACCAGCCACCCCTTCAGCAACAAAGGACCGGGAGGCTACATCACAGCAGGATGGTACCGTGGTGCATCTACCGGCTATCTCAGTCAACCCATAGCACCGGGGTCTGTTCCGTGATCTCCAGCGAGCCGATGACAGTAAACATGGCTTCTAAGTGCACACAGCCCGACACAAGCGCCGTGGTGATGCCGATGCGACGGCGTGGGTGTCGCGAGCGAGGACTCGCCGGGCGGGTCGCAGAAGAAGGCGTCGGTGTGGAAGTCCCACTCGGCCGCCCTCCGGTCGCGTCCGTAATCGTCATTCCAGGGTTTGTCCAGCTGACCCTGGCTACGCACGCACGCACCACACATGTACACACGCATGCACCATACACGCAAGCACGCACCACACACACGCACGCACCACGCGCACACACACAACAACCCCCGTTAATTCCGGGGTGAGCACTATTAGCGAGTGCCTGCATGGCATCTCATGTCAACTGTTCAGAGGGGCTGCACGGCAGCAGCTCGGGGCGATTCAGCAAGGGGGCATTGGTCTGCCAGTTGGGGCCCATGATTGCTGCTCTGTGTCATCCCAGTTGTGGAAATTGCGATTTAACTGCAGCGACTGTCACTCCCATAATATAAACACCCATATTATGGGGGTTTGTTTGTTTTTTTTTGTGTTCCTGTTGCGTCTTCCTGCAAGCCTCGCATGCTACGCAGAGGGCCGCAGAACCACAGCCCTACGAGCCCTCCGCACCGCGCGAAGGGCCCACACCACCCTGACGGACTGATTTACGCCGGCGCTGCGCATGGCTGTCAATTGAAACTGCACCTGTAGCGCAGTGTGTTACCGGCTAAACCTCCGCTCCCCGCACACACAGACGCACAGACAAAAGTGGACGTTTTTCGTCAAACGCAACACACCGCGACGACGCAGGCGGGAGTCTCACCTCCTGGCCACCTGCTCGGCGTACTTGAAGGGGTAGTTGGCGAGTGTCGCCATGTAGCCCGTGTTCTTCAGCATGTTGTTCCACGTCACCAGGCGCTGGCTGATCTCCGTGCCGCGCGGCTCAAAACCCTGCCAGGGCCACACACGGGCGACCGTCGGCACCGTGCATTCCGCACGGCAAATCGCCCCCTTCATCCCACCTGCCCTGCCAGCAGGCACCGGCGCGAACAGCGCGCTGCTCGAACTCGTTCGTTCTGTCGCCCTTTCACTCTTACACGTCTATCCCTTTCCTTCTCTCCACTCCTTCACTCTCACACTCATTTGCTCCCAATCGCGTTGTGTTTAGGTGCGAGTCTGGGTGAGTGTGAGTCTGGGTGAGTGTGAGACTGGGCGAGTGTGAGTCTGGGTGAGCGTGAGTCTGGGCGAGGGTGAGTCTGGGCGAGCGTGAGTCTGGGTGAGCGCGAGTCTGGGCGAGCGCGAGTCTGGGCGAGCGTGAGTCTGGGCGAGCGTGAGTCTGGGCGAGTGCGAGTCTGGGCGAGCGTGAGTCTGGGCGAGCGTGAGTCTGGGTGAGCGTGAGTCTGGGTGAGTGTGAGTCTGGGTGAGTGTGAGTCTGGGCGAGCGTGATTCTGGGTGAGCGTGAGTCTGGGCGAGCGTGAGTCTGGGCGAGCGTGAGTCTGGGTGAGCGTGAGTCTGGGTGAGCGTGAGTCTGGGCGAGCGTGAGTCTGGGCGAGCGCGAGTCTGGGCGAGCGCGAGTCTGGGCGAGCGTGAGTCTGGGTGAGCGTGAGTCTGGGCGAGCGTGAGTCTGGGCGAGCGTGAGTCTGGGTGAGCGCGAGTCTGGGCGAGCGTGAGTCTGGGCGAGTGCGAGTCTGGGTGAGCGTGAGTCTGGGCGAGTGCGAGTCTGGGCGAGCGTGAGTCTGGGTGAGCGTGAGTCTGGGCGAGTGCGAGTCTGGGTGAGCGTGAGTCTGGGCGAGTGCGAGTCTGGGCGAGCGTGAGTCTGGGTGAGCGTGAGTCTGGGCGAGCGTGATTCTGGGTGAGCGTGAGTCTGGGCGAGCGTGAGTCTGGGCGAGTGCGAGTCTGGGTGAGCGTGAGTCTGGGCGAGTGCGAGTCTGGGCGAGTGCGAGTCTGGGTGAGCGTGAGTCTGGGCGAGCGTGAGTCTGGGTGAGCGTGAGTCTGGGCGAGCGTGAGTCTGGGCGAGTGTGAGTCTGGGCGAGTGTGAGTCTGGGTGAGCGTGAGTCTGGGCGAGTGTGAGTCTGAGTGAGCGTGAGTCTGGGTGAGCGTGAGTCTGGGCGAGCGTGAGTCTGGGCGAGCGTGAGTCTGGGCGAGTGTGAGTCTGGGTGAGCGTGAGTCTGGGCGAGTGTGAGTCTGGGTGAGCGTGAGTCTGGGCGAGTATGAGTCTGGGTGAGCGTGAGTCTGGGTGAGCGTGAGTCTGGGCGAGTGTGAGTCTGGGTGAGCGCGAGTCTGGGCGAGTGTGAGTCTGGGTGAGCGTGAGTCTGGGTGAGCGTGAGTCTGGGTGAGCGTGAGTCTGGGCGAGTGTGAGTCTGGGCGAGCGTGAGTCTGGGTGAGCGTGAGTCTGGGCGAGTGCGAGTCTGGGCGAGTGCGAGTCTGGGTGAGCGTGAGTCTGGGCGAGCGTGAGTCTGGGTGAGCGTGAGTCTGGGCGAGCGTGAGTCTGGGCGAGCGTGAGTCTGGGCGAGTGCGAGTCTGGGTGAGCGTGAGTCTGGGTGAGCGTGAGTCTGGGCGAGTGCGAGTCTGGGCGAGCGTGAGTCTGGGTGAGCGTGAGTCTGGGCGAGCGTGAGTCTGGGCGAGCGTGAGTCTGGGCGAGTGCGAGTCTGGGTGAGCGTGAGTCTGGGTGAGAGTGAGTCTGGGCGAGCGTGAGTCTGGGTGAGCGTGAGTCTGGGCGAGTGCGAGTCTGGGTGAGCGTGAGTCTGGGTGAGCTCACCAGCAGCGGGTCAGAGAAGTCGGGCAGCTCAGGGACCAGAACTCCGACGAGGGCGCAGACCACGATGAGCAGCGTGCACATGGCCAGCACCACGATCGGCCAGTCGGCGATGAGCTCCGAGTAGCTGCGCACGCACAGAGAGGGGGGGTCGGCGTTGGCCCTTTAAGCCTCGCAGCCCGAGAACGTCGAGCCAGGGCGGGCCTGGGGCAGGTAAGGTTGTCACTTGTTCTCCTTCCGTGTGGCCTATGAACAGCAACCGTTTGAGATTCACTTGGGGATAGGGTAAGCCAGCACGCCACACCGGCAATTCTCACAAGGCCAAACGCTTGAACCGGCACCATTCACAACCATTCCCATTACTATCTTGCGATGTTTCCACGGAGGGGAAACGGCAGCGAGTGCCGAGGTCGGCCGCCATCTCGTTCGTCACCCACTGCGCAGCGAAGCGACGCTACATTCCTCATAGACGCCTCTCGCGGAGCGCACCGCCGGGGCACACCGCGCCACGCCATCTGGGAGAAATGACCAAGGAAATTACGCGATGCATCGCAATGCTAAAACCAATTACAAGGGAAAAAATGAGAAACGATTACGTGCAGAGTGTGACGATTTAAAGTGCCGCGTTACCGCGCGCGCACGCTCACATCCAAGAGAAGTAGCTACGTTGCACGGGTCTCTAGACTTACGCACAGGAAGAGCATGGGAGGGCGTCTCATCAGCAAGCTAGGGGCGGCAAGGGAGGGGATGCGCGGCTGGACACTGCTGCTGCCCTCTCATCTACTGGTTTCTACGTCGACGCAGACCGACAAGAGCAATGGCTTAGTCGCTCGCACTCATGCAGAAGAATGTGGGGCCAGGAGGGAGTGAGGGGAGACAGAGCGGGAACGAGGGAGTGTGAGAGGGAGTGAGTGAGAGAGTGAGTGAGAGAGTGAGAGAGTGGGAGAGTGAGTGAGGGAGAGAGTGAAAGAGTGAGTGAGAGAGTGAGAGAGTGGGAGAGTGGGAGAGTGGGAGAGTGAGTGAGGGAGAGAGTGAAAGAGTGAGTGAGAGAGTGAGAGAGTGGGAGAGTGAGTGAGGGAGAGAGTGAGAGATTGAGTGAGTGAGAGAGTGAGGGAGAGAGAGAGTGAGAGAGACAGAGAGGGAGAGAGTGGGAGAGTGAGAGAGTGAGAGAGTGAGAGAGTGAGTGAGTGAGGGAGGGAGGGAGGGAGGGAGGGAGGGAGAGAGTGGGAGAGTGAGTGAGGGAGAGAGTGAGCGAGGGAGAGAGTGAAAAAGTGAGAGAGTGGGAGAGTGAGAGAGTGGGAGAGTAAGTGAGGGAGAGAGTGAGTGAGGGAGAGAGTGAAAGAGTGAGAGAGTGGGAGAGTGAGTGAGGGAGGGAGTGAGTGAGTGAGTGAGAGAGTGAGTGAGAGAGTTGGAGAGTGGGAGAGTGAGTGAGGGAGAGAGTAAGAGACAGAGAGTGAGTGAGGGAGAGAGTGAGAGAGTGGGAGAGTGAGAGAGTGAGTGAGGGAGAGTGAGCAAATGATTGCCAGTGTGTTGTCAGGCCCTACAGACTGTGTAAGTGTGCACTGGAACAACAAAGTGCGACACTGCCGGATGCTGTTGATGGTTTTTTGCGGCGCTTACCTCTTTGGGAATTCAAACGGCTTCTTGGACCTGGAAAATAAAATAAAATAACCGGTCAGTAAATAAAATGCACCGTCCATTATAGGACGTGATGCACAGCAAAACGAAATGCGAGCACAGATACAATGATAATGGTGACTCGTTTACCCAGGAAATACACTGTTTGAGTAGGGTTCCACATTGGAATGCTAGACAAACATCAATTACATCCTCTCTTTTTATCATATCCATTCATTTCCACCCAATGCATATAATCACCAGCCGATTGCAAATTCACACAAACACACACGGCCTCGTGCGACACACAAACATTCTTGCGCTATGCACACACACACACACATCTGCAGTCATGCACAACACCACCCACAACACAGACACAGCTGTGAATAAGAAAGCACGGTTTGTCAAAACATGTCACGGGGTGAGCGGCTTTGCAACTCGATATCACATCAACCCAACACACACGCACGCACCGTTCGAGTCACACACAGATGTTTCAGTTGCGTACGTTGGGTAGCGCGTGCGAGTTGCAAATACACCCTCTCCCCCCGCGGCGAGACGATGGGTGCGTGCGTGCGTGCGAGTGAGCACGCTATCCACGTGTGCGGGTTGGTTTCGTGATCGCTGCAACTCATCATCGTCACGAACGTCGCGGGGCGGCGGTGCGGAGCCAGCTCGCACCGCCAAGGCTTCCAGCGCGTGTGGAATCGCCGGCGCGCGACACGGATTGCCGAGTCGGGAGGCCACGATCCGTGTCGCGTGGTGTCATCGTGCCGTCACGGTGCGCAATCGCGAGTCGATTCAAGAAATTACTCTTTTGCATCTCGGTTATACACTTTTGTTCGCTTAATGTGCTTAAAAGTTAAGTTGGCGCCTCATTTGCACATCAGTGTGATCATAAATAATCAAATTTAATTGATGGATGTATACAATGCAATGCATCAACCAAATAACAAAAATTTGAAAACCTGCATCTGAAACGTGAACAACTGCCACTGCGTTACTACACCAACCTCCAGGTTCACGAGCCCATTTCATCAAACTAAGTGCCTTGCACACAGAGAAAGTTCTCCCATTTGGCCAAACAAATCTCAGGGCACCCAGACTATGGATCAGATATGAGAATGCCAACGTTGGCGATTTGCATCATTGCCAGCAACCAAACCGGGACCATCGAGTGTCCTTGCACCCTGACTCGGGCACCACCGCTCCCCATCGCAACACAAAGACGATGCAAAGTACACTTCTTCTTTTTTTTGGGTTCGGCCGCCCGCGGTGGTAAACCCTCAGCGATCAGATCCGTCACGCCCGCAAGGCGCCCGGTGCCCAGCGCCGGAGCTTGCGGTTATTTCTGAGGCTTCCAAAGAGCAAACAAACCCACGGCACAGAGGCTTTTTGTGTTTTTGTTTTGCGCTTCTGCCGCCGCCGCTGCCGATCCTGAGCGAGCGGCTCCTATAGAGACCGCCCTCCCCCCACTCGCCGCACAATTAGCCGGGCCTCCTTTACAGAAATCACAAGAAACGGTTAAGCCGTGGCCAGCACACTCAAACGAATACTTAACATTTTTCACGTTGGTGCTGTCCGCAAAACCGTCACAAAAAAGTGACGATCGTTTTCTGCGTTTCGTTAAAGAGCCTCCACAGAAATTTCGGTGGCCATAGAATTGCCGCTGACTTTTTTTTTACAGCAAAAATCTTGAGTTGCTTAGAAATTCATTTGGTGCTCGGAGGAATTTCGGACGGCCACGGGGGTCGCGCTTAGACTTTAGTGACCCCGAAACTCATAAAATAACGGTGACAAAAGCCACGAACAAAGTCAGTAACTTTGCCACCAATTATTTGCCACGGTTAACAAACTGCCGCACGAGCTGAATGTGATCTCTTGTATTGGTTTTTGTTCAGCATAAATATAAAACAGTAAACTCGTGAGTTGCAGTCTCATGCATCGTTTAAAGAACGTGGATATATTTGTATTGCATGGCAGTTAACTACTCTGTTAATTGCCGATGTTTAATCCGGTGAGACCTTATGAGGCTTAATTTCTGACGCGTACCTTTCTCGACCATTATGTATTCATTATCTTGGTTTCAACCAAATTCATATTTTTTTCTATTTTCAAAGTTTAATTCATGTCCTTTCCCTATGTCAATCTTAAATTTTCTACAATAAGGACCCCAAACAAAGTATATAATGAGAATATTAATTATTACCACTCTAATTTCTTACATATTTATAGACAGCAATTAATCGGTGCAACACCATCATCAACTCAATCTAACAACGTCCTCGTGAGGGTGTTAAGAGCTGGCACCGCGGAGACCTGGGGCTCAATCTACGCAGCCGCCTGCGACTTAATGGCAGCAGTGGACGGTCTCAACATATCTACCCCTGGCCTCACAAACCAAAGTCATTCAGTTCTTCATTCATTTTGATAAATTCCAGCTCTCAGAATAAAAAAAAATATCAGTTTTACCGTCACGTGAAAAACTTCACTCTTATGCACGGCGAGTGGGAAAGTGCTGCCATCGACTGTGCAGGTCAGAGGTCACCCGAGGGATCTCAGAAGTACCTCCGCGATATCAGCTTCTGCGGGCCGTTCTCTAACACGAAGGGTTGCACACTGCCCTGCCAGAGATCCAAACGCATTCTTCATCTCATAGTGTGACACCCAGAGCACAATGGCAACATGCTACAAAGTTTTAAGTGCTAATCAAAACCAAATTGTTACCAACGAGGCAATTTAAAATGTAAGCAGTAAAAGCAGTCCTGCTAACAACAACAAACACACCGTTTAATCCACACACCTCTTGATCATTATCACGCAAAGAACCGCAACATCGTACTTGGCCGCTCACTGCTTGGTGCAGAAGATCACAGTTCAAATCTGACTGGTCACACTGGGTAATGCTGCGGGTGCGTTAACCATCACAGTCGACGCGAGAGACCCGGTGATGTCATTCAAAGAAAGGTCGGCCACTGTGTTGGTGGCGGCACCAAGGTCACATTTTTCAAAATTAAGCAAAATCACTCGCAAACTATTAATTTGGGAAACAAACAGCAATCGCCATCCCCTACTATGTAAACTCGACAGGATCCTCCTGAAAGGAGCCTTGAGATTCAGCGAAGCATTCCTGGGTCAACAAATATAACGATGTGCGTTGCGGATCGGGACGTTGCTGCCGCTACTCGGGGGGGGGGGGGACCTTAGACCTGTAGCGTTCGTGTGGCTTTTGGGGCCACTGCCATTTACAATTGTAAAAATTCTAAAAGTGGTCTCGTGTGACTTAGGTAAATGCACCACCGGTCTGCTTGAACGACAACAGTTATTTGTCCCAGGAGTCGCGGTCTAGTCATTATTCCCGTTCGGTGCGAGAGATACGCAAGACGCACGGACATGCAGCACCCTTGTCTCATCGCAACACATGCTTTGTTCTTTTCCTCCATTACGTAAAATGGGAATTTATTATTCACAACTTAAAGAAACAAAGACATGAGCTAACAATTAAATCCTTACACTTCCCTGTCTTAATAAATGCATCTATTTTAGTTTTTGCATAAAATCGGCACAGTGCTTTGCCCGAGCGTAGTTGTTATTTTATTATTTAATATCAGTATCTATTTATTTGTTTGGTTGTCCTCCCAGCTTATCCCATATTACAGCACTCAAGTCTAGCTTCAGAGGTTTTTACAATACACAGACAAGTCAACTATATATACGTAACTCCTGTGGAAGAAATTGAAACAGCGTATATCCTTTATCAGCAAGGCAGAGATGACATTTCAGCCCAGGGGCATTTTCAAGCTCTTACTGACTCTGGTGCCCTCAAAGATCCATGGTGGCAGGAGTGAGACCTGATGGTTAAAGGACCATGGGATTAGGGCAAGGGGTTGTTTCAGCGATGGGGCGGGCTGCCCTCACACTACCCACGTCTTTACACAATACCACCGAATATGTGGCCATGGGTTTTTGGCTTCGGTGGCCAGTGACCAACCCATCTTGGCTTCCCTAACAAAATCCAAACAAGGCAGTTCGATTTCTTAGGAAACTTTCAGTTTTTTATTTGTGTTGTTTTTCTTACTTTTTATTTTTGCGATCTCGCCCTTCCTCAGCGAGGCTGCCAGGAAGCTACGCTCAGGAGACGCGAGCTCGGTGCCAGCGACAACTCGGAGGCGGCTCTCGCTCGGCACGCGCTCGCACGCTCACGAGTGTCATCGCCCCGCTCTCACGAGCTCGCGCACACTCACGCGCTGGTACACTCCACACGCATACACGCAAAAATAGCGTTCGCCACAATGGTACCACTCCCCACAACGTTAATGAAGCAGCCAGACTATTTGAGTCATCATTGTTAGCGAGCACCTATTTAAGACCGGCACTGTACACGAAGGGGTGACCGGCACCATGCCTGGCTGCCTTTGTCTCTACGGGTCTTATGTGTATCCACTGCGGAAGATACTCAAGACTGGGTTGACTAACTTAAAACACCACATGCAACTGATGCCACCCGTGGCAATGAATGGAAGCGAGGTTGCTAAGGTGCTTAAGCAGTGCCGAACACACCGCCCCACGGCTTCCCACGCGTTCACACGGCCCGGCACACGGAGCAGCGTGCGTCCCACGCTCCTCCTGGCCTCTCACTCACTCCTCACTCATCTCACTCTCTCACCTGAGCTCTACGAGGTGATGACATCGCCCCGGCTGCTGGAGGCACAGCCCCGCGCCCGGGACGTGACGCGCGCAGACGCAGCAGCGGAGGCGGCAGCAGCAGCAGCAGCAGCAGGGGGGGCGACCGGCGCCCGCGCGCACGCACGCGCACTGCGCGCGCTGCTGCTGCTGCTGTCGATGCAGGTGATGCTGCTGCTGCAAGTACAAGTGCTGCTGCTGCCGGTACAGCGGGTGGTGGCCGTGCGCGCAGCCCGCGGCAAAGAGCCCCGCGCCGGCGGCCCCGTTGGCCGGCTCCCCCCGCCTGCCGCACGCCTCGCAGTCGCGCGGCGGCGGAGCCGTCGGCGTCGTCGTCGCCACGCCCTTGGAAGCCGCGCCCGGCGGGTGTCCGTTGGGCACGGCGGAGGCCGGAGCCGAGCCGAGCCGGGCCTTGCACTCGGCGCAGCAGGCCACGCCGCACGTGCGGCAGCGCACGGCGGCGATCGCCGAGCCCGTCGTGCCGCGGCCGACACGACGGCGGCAGGAGCGGCACGGCGGTTGCGGGGCCGCGGCGCCATCCCGTTCCCGGGCGGGTTCCTCCGCGTCCGCGTCGGGGCCGGCGTCTCCGGAGCGCGCCGCTCCGGGCCGCGTTGTTAAAGCCCCGTGGCCGGCCTCCTCGTCGTCCGCAGGCCCCGAGCCGCCGGGCGAGACGCTCTCACCCATGGCCTCTCGGAGAGGCTGCGGCGCAGAGAATGCCACGTGGACAATTACCACTGAATATAAACAAGACGAGACACCCACACAGCCACAACTCCCAACCGTGACAAAGGGCATCAATGCTTCTTAATGCCACCTTGGCGTGCCACTGCGACGGCATGGCCCGATTCCGTTTATTCTTCCAGAAAAACACCGGCTCCCCGACAACAAAGTGGAATGAGGCACAAAGAAACGAAGAGGAAAGAAAAGAGGCGTTAAGAGCAGAAGTGGCCGGTCTCGCGTTACCCCGACATGGCCCGAGCAGGAAAATAGGTCGAGCGGGAAACCCAACACCTGATCGTCTGGGAAGCATTCTATCTCCGTCGGAGGCATTCAGTCACGCAGATAGAGCAACACGACACTCCCAGAGCACCGCGGCCCCTTGTCCTGCTGCCTAGGGTGATGGGGTGGGGGGGCAGTGATGGGGAGCCACGGGCAACGAAGGGGAAGAGCGGTGCGGTGCGGCCCCCAGGAGCCTAGTGGACCGTCCGGAGCTCCGCGTGTGGGTGTTTGGGGGGGAGGGGTGGAGGGGGGGGAAGGTCAAGGGGTGACGTCCCCGCGCCACCGCTCGCACTACCCCAGCCTGAAAATCTCTCCCACAAGGCGAGGCGCACGACCGCGTCGAGCTCGCCAATTTGCCTGCGGTGCTGCTTAATCCGAGCGCCCTGCGACGGGACGGAGAGCCGTCGCTCAGCGCTCAAAGGAGAGGCGGCTACACAAAGGCTTCGCACGCACACACGGGATAACAAATGCGTGGCCATGAACATTATCAAGACGGATCAATTTTAGTTATGAAAATAACAGTTGCATAATGCATTACAATAATACAGCACAATGAAACAAAGAGACACGGTACGACATTGTAATGTAGCGCAATATTAATAAGATCGCGTGTTTTCAAAAACTACAATAATCACCACCTTTTAGTTATCGCAAAAGCTTCATTGTATTAGCATCCATTTGGGTGCACAGGGTTAGTGTGGATGTAGAGTATTGTACAAAAATAATAACGGCAATGTTGTTTTACACAGCATTTGAAGGGTTAAGGCCAAGCCTGACCCTGACCCATTAGGAGCTGCATCGTTAGTTAAGCATCGCTCTGAATGTGCAGACAATAGCGTACGTACCCGTTTGGATCCTTAAAAAGAAATAAAAACGGAGGCAAATAAATAGACGAAGAAATCTGAGCGTGAACAAGAGCAATGTTTACGTGAGGGTCGAGAGGGTCGGGAGGTTGGGCGCGAGCGCACAGAGGAGTCAATCCCTGGAGGCAATCTCTCTCTCTCCCGAGAGCTGCGCTGACGAGCACCGCTGCCCGTGCCCAGCGTGCGTCTGGCACCACGGCGGCTCCGCTCCGGAGAGACGCCACGCGGCCCGGCGCTCCCCCCCCTTTAACGGAGACCGCCGCCCATCACCCCCCCCACACCGCCCCGCCCGCACGCGGCGGCTGGAGGGGGGGATGCCGGCAGGAGGCCGAGCGAGTAACGCGGCGCTGAGGGGCGTGCGGGGAGAGCGGTGTGCGTGTGTCGCGTACGTGTCGCGTGCGTGTTGTCGGGGCACTGCAAAACAAAGACGGCGACCCGAGTTCGAATCCCGCCCGCTTGTGGCCGATATCGGTGAGAAATATCTAAACCGGTCCTGGGCCTCCTCTAGATCAACTCGACCTCAAATGAGTAGAGGTCAAGTTTATTTGTTTGACCAGGTGAGAACTTGAGAGATCAGAATAGTCGATACCTGGGGTGGGATGTAAGCATCACAACTGGCGAGACAAAGGTGGCCAGACATGGGTCTGGCCATACCATCCCTTGTGCAATGAGCCAACCTTGTTATGTGCTCGCTAAAAGCACTTGCCCGAACAACCTGCGGAGGCTATACAGGGGATCTTTGTCTTTGTGCTTACATCTGGGTGTCGGTGCACATGGGAAAATGTGTGGATATGAGTTTGGGAGTGTTTGTGTCATGTGGCTGAATATCTGGTGTGCGGGTCTGTGTGTGCAAGTGTTAGTGCGCGCGTGCGTAAGTTGACGTGCGTAAGTTGGCGTGTGTAAATTGGCGTGCGTAGGTTGGCGTGCGTAGGTTGACGTGCGTAGGTTGACGTGCGTAGGTTGGCGTGCGTAGGTTGGCGTGCGTAGGTTGGCGTGCGTAGGTTGGCGAGCGTAGGTTGGCGTGCGTAGGTTGGCGTGCGTAGGTTGGCGTGCGTAAGTTGGTGAGCGTAGGTTGGCGTGCGTAGGTTGGCGAGCGTAGGTTGGCGTGCGTAGGTTGGCGTGCGTAGGTTGGCGTGCGTAGGTTGGCGAGCGTAGGTTGGCGTGCGTAGGTTGGCGTGCGTAGGTTGGCGTGTGTAGGTTGGCGAGCGTAGGTTGGCGTGCGTAAGTTGGTGAGCGTAAGTTGACGTGCGTAGGTTGGCATGCGTAAGTTGGCGTGCGTAAGTTGACGTGCGTAGGTTGGCGTGTGTAGGTTGGCGTGTGTAGGTTGGCGTGTGTAGGTTGGCGAGCGTAGGTTGGCGTGCGTAAGTTGGCGTGTGTAGGTTGGCGTGCGTAAGTTGGTGAGCGTAAGTTGACGTGCGTAGGTTGGCATGCGTAGGTTGGCGTGTGTAGGTTGGCGAGCGTAGGTTGGCGTGCGTAAGTTGGTGAGCGTAAGTTGACGTGCGTAAGTTGGCATGCGTAAGTTGGCGTGCGTAAGTTGACGTGCGTAGGTTGGCGTGCGTAAGTTAGTGTGCGTAAGTTGGCATGCGTAAGTTGGCGTGCGTAAGTTGACGTGCGTAGGTTGACGTGCGTAGGTTGGCGTGCGTAAGTTGACGTGCGTAGGTTGGCGTGCGTAGGTTGGCGTGCGTAAGTTGACGTGCGTAAGTTGACGTGCGTAGGTTGGCGTGCGTAAGTTGACGTGCGTAGGTTGGCGTGCGTAAGTTGGTGTGCGTAAGTTGGCGAGCGTAAGTTCACGTGCGTAAGTTGGCGTGCGTAAGTTGGCGTGCGTAAGTTGACGTGCGTAGGTTGGCGAGCGTAAGTTCACGTGCGTAGGTTGGCGTGCGTAAGTTGGCGTGCGTAAGTTGGCGTGCGTAGGTTGGCGTGCGTAAGTTGGCGTGCGTAAGTTGGCGAGCGTAAGTTCACGTGCGTAGGTTGGCGTGCGTAAGTTAGCGTGCGTAAGTTGGCGTGCGTAGGTTGGCGAGCGTAGGTTGGCGTGCGTAAGTTGGCGAGCGTAGGTTGGCGTGCGTAAGTTGGCGAGCGTAGGTTGGCGAGCGTAGGTTGGCGTGCGTAGGTTGGCGTGCGTAAGTTGGCGTGCGTAGGTTGGCGAGCGTAGGCTGGCGTGCGTAAGTTGGCGAGCGTAGGTTGGCGTGCGTAAGTTGGCGTGCGTAGGTTGGCGAGCGTAAGTTGGCATACGTAAGTTGGCGTGCGTAGGTTGGCGTGCGTAAGTTGGCGTGCGTAGGTTGGCGAGCGTAGGTTGGCGTGCGTAAGTTGGCGTGCGTAGGTTGGCGTGCGTAAGTTGGCGTGCGTAAGTTGGCGTGCGTAGGTTGGCGAGCGTAAGTTGGCGTGCGTAAGTTGGCGAGCGTAGGTTGGCGAGCGTAGGTTGGCATACGTAAGTTGGCGTGCGTAAGTTGGCGTGCGTAGGTTGGCGTGCGTAAGTTGGCGTGCGTAGGTTGGCGAGCGTAAGTTGGCGTGCGTAGGTTGGCGTGCGTAAGTTGGCGTGCGTAGGTTGGCGTGCGTAAGTTGGCGTGCGTAGGTTGGCGTGCGTAAGTTGGCGTGCGTAGGTTGGCGTGCGTAAGTTGGCGTGCGTAGGTTGGCGAGCGTAAGTTGGAGTGCGTAAGTTGGCGAGCGTAAGTTGGCGTGCGTAAGTTGGCGTGCGTAGGTTGGCGTGCGTAAGTTGGAGTGCGTAAGTTGGAGTGCGTAAGTTGGCGTGCGTAGGTTGGCGTGCGTAAGTTGGCGTGCGTAAGTTGGAGTGCGTAAGTTGGCGTGCGTAGGTTGGCGTGCGTAAGTTGGCGTGCGTAGGTTGGCGTGCGTAAGTTGGCGTGCGTAGGTTGGCGTGCGTAAGTTGGCGTGCGTAGGTTGGCGTGCGTAAGTTGGAGTGCGTAAGTTGGCGAGCGTAAGTTGGCGAGCGTAGGTTGGCGTGCGTAAGTTGGAGTGCGTAGGTTGGCGTGCGTAAGTTGGCGTGCGTAGGTTGGCGTGCGTAAGTTGGCGTGCGTAAGTTGGCGAGCGTAAGTTGGCGAGCGTAGGTTGGCGTGCGTAAGTTGGAGTGCGTAAGTTGGCGAGCGTAGGTTGGCGAGCGTAAGTTGGCGAGCGTAAGTTGGCGAGCGTAAGTTGGCGAGCGTAAGTTGGCGAGCGTAAGTTGGCGAGCGTAAGTTGGCGAGCGTAGGTTGGCGAGCGTAAGTTGGCGAGCGTAAGTTGGCGAGCGTAAGTTGGCGTGCGTAAGTTGGCGTGCGTAGGTTGGCGTGCGTAAGTTGGCGTGCGTAGGTTGGCGAGCGTAAGTTGGCGTGCGTAGGTTGGCGTGCGTAAGTTGGCGTGCGTAGGTTGGCGTGCGTAAGTTGGCGTGCGTAGGTTGGCGTGCGTAAGTTGGCGTGCGTAGGTTGGCGTGCGTAAGTTGGCGTGCGTAGGTTGGCGAGCGTAAGTTGGAGTGCGTAAGTTGGCGAGCGTAAGTTGGCGTGCGTAAGTTGGCGTGCGTAGGTTGGCGTGCGTAAGTTGGAGTGCGTAAGTTGGAGTGCGTAAGTTGGCGTGCGTAGGTTGGCGTGCGTAAGTTGGCGTGCGTAAGTTGGAGTGCGTAAGTTGGCGTGCGTAGGTTGGCGTGCGTAAGTTGGCGTGCGTAGGTTGGCGTGCGTAAGTTGGCGTGCGTAGGTTGGCGTGCGTAAGTTGGCGTGCGTAGGTTGGCGTGCGTAAGTTGGAGTGCGTAAGTTGGCGAGCGTAAGTTGGCGAGCGTAGGTTGGCGTGCGTAAGTTGGAGTGCGTAGGTTGGCGTGCGTAAGTTGGCGTGCGTAGGTTGGCGTGCGTAAGTTGGCGTGCGTAAGTTGGCGAGCGTAAGTTGGCGAGCGTAGGTTGGCGTGCGTAAGTTGGAGTGCGTAAGTTGGCGAGCGTAGGTTGGCGAGCGTAAGTTGGCGAGCGTAAGTTGGCGAGCGTAAGTTGGCGAGCGTAAGTTGGCGAGCGTAAGTTGGCGAGCGTAAGTTGGCGAGCGTAGGTTGGCGAGCGTAAGTTGGCGAGCGTAAGTTGGCGAGCGTAAGTTGGCGTGCGTAAGTTGGCGAGCGTAAGTTGGCGAGCGTAGGTTGGCGTGCGTAAGTTGGAGTGCGTAAGTTGGCGTGCGTAGGTTGGCGAGCGTAAGTTGGCGAGCGTAAGTTGAAATGCGTAAGTTGACATGTGTAAGTTGGCATGCGTAGGTTGGCGTGTGTAAGTTGGTGTGCGTAAGTTGGTGTGCGCGCATGTGCGAGTGGATGGGTGTGTCCGGTATGTGTGTTAGGTGTGGGTGGGAGAGGGGTGAGGTGTCAGGAGGGGGAGGGGTGGGGTGAAAGGGGGTGGGTGTTTGTGGGGTTGGCTCAGGGATGAATAAGAGCTAAGCTGCAGTGCAA